TTAGTGGACTGGACCCTACACCGAATACGCGCCCGGCCATAGAAAACAGTGCCAAATCGGACCGAAATAGCGCCGCCTCGTGAAAAGGTTGGCCTCCGTTTGTTTCACTGGAAATTCAAGATTATGGCCAGCAGATCACTTTTCATTTCAATTTTATGGGGGTTAATAGAAAAAAAAATATTCGCCTTTTCGCGAAGAAACCCCTAAAATAGTAGTAAAACTATGCACTCAGCTCTAAATATAGCCGCCCGCCTCTATCCAAAATAGGCCCGCAATTTGGGGCTTCTTGTGAAAGAAATATCAGTCCCAATTTCGGGAATTATAGAAAGATGTCTATGATCCCACCTGATGGCATGTCTTATTGTAAAAACCCCGATCAAAATATTATTGAGCTCGGACGCAGAAATGCAATGATTTGGTGAAATGCAACCCTATGCGTACAAGTATGCGGTACCTAAAAGAAAAACCTAAACTTATTGTGCGGTGCATTTGGTGAAAGAGACCATGTTTCTCTGTAACAAAGCTTTGCGTTCAGGACTTGGACTCAGTGTGGACTCTCAGTCTGTAGAATCCTGCGAGACGTTGCCGCGTACAATGTATTAGTTTGCTTCGTACATTAGCTCCATGATTGAGCAGCTCAGGCTACCTATAAAGGGGATTTCCGGATTGCCGTTATGCAGTTTACTCAGTATGTTTATGATTATGAAATTATTGTGTACGGTGCATGCAAGAGCCCGGAGCCTCAAAGCAACAGGTCACTCAATGAGTTTCGGAACCTTCGCGCCGGGTCCGCCTGTGGAGATTTTACTTGGGCCGTCCTATTACATTCGACAATTTTTGAATACTGATTCCTAACTGGAACCTCCCCAAGAAATACTCATGTCGGAATTTCCCCTTTGTCCTCCTCAAGTAATATTCAGGGAAAGTCACCTGGAGACGGGTAAAAACTAATTTCATTAACAACCTCGCTTCGGGCAGTATCGTTCCTAGGTCACGTTGTTCATGCACGTTATAGTTTTCATTCCCCGTGCTTACGTGAAGCGAGATTGTACAACATCGCAAAGATGTACCTACCTGCAGTCGATGGACTCTAGATTCAGTCGGCCTGACCTGACGCAGTTCTTGTCAGCAAAGGTTAGATTACACATGAGACTCTTTGATAGGTCAATGTGGCAGAAAATTTCTTTCTTAGGTCAGGTAATTTTTAAGTTTCCATAAATAGATATGCTAGCAACTATTTTACTAAAGGCCTTTTCACAAGTAGAGTTTTGAAAAGTAACCGAACAAAATATATTAGAAATTCTGAAATGTTTGCACTTTTTTCTCTTCAAGGGTTCTGGAAGCTCTCTATTATTGCGAGACATTTCCGCTGAACAGTTTTTGGGGATTACTGCATGGTTCAAAAATGTTCTATCGTCTTTAAATTTGAAAAAGCTCAGATATGCATTTTGAGATACAAGTATGTGATTCACGCATTACTGACGTGCAGTCTAACAGTGTAAACATTGGCAATATACCAAAATTAACAAACATTCTTTACATTGTGCCTACGCATTTAGATGGGCCGGTGATAAAGCACTAGAGCGCTCGCAGCTAAGCAGCACATCATCATAACATACACGTAAACATGAGGGGTGTTTGAAAACTGAAGAACTGACCGCAATCGGAAAACTTTACGCCGATAATGGCCTCAGCCGAGCCATTTCATTTTTTTAAAGAACTCGTTAATCCGGCAATGGAAGCAGACGTACCGGTCCTACAGTCTTACGGCTCAATCTGAATCTGAATCATTATAGTTGGCAAGGCATCCATAAGGAAATAAGACACAAACATTATTATTTTTATTAATTACTGTATTTCTGGTAATGACACCAAGGATTCCTCAAAAACACCCTGGGCACTGTATCTTGCAAGCCTGAAGAAACCCGTAGAGAAGAGACAATGAGAAGCAGTTACACTTTCAGAGGTGGGGGGAGAACCCAAGGGGAATGTTCTGGGTAAAACTCCCCATAAAACTCATCTAGCCTACTTCAGGCAAATGCAAAGGTGATAAACCGAATTAGACTTCACCAAAGATTTGTAGCAAACAGTCGCTCGAGTTGAAATAATATGTTCACCTGACGCATATTCGCGTTCGTTTTCACTTCTACGCCAAGTATGAACCAGCCTTTAATACTCAGAACCGTGTACGCATGCTCAGAACTACGTGCGCATGCTCAGAACTGGCATAACGAACCGCTGTATTTGCCGCCTGCAGCATGCACATCTCAGAATATCCCACTGAGGCAAATACTCAAGAATAAAGCCTAAGCAGCTTCCAAGAAACCAATTAGAAGGGAAAAAAGGTCATGGCGATCACATTGTGGTTGACCTTTTTTGATGAAACAGCCTGGGCAAGTTTAGCTTCTCGATTCAGACTTGCCCTCAATCGTCGCTACAGTGATAATGGACAGAAATGTGTCGTCACACACAGAAGGGACTAACAATACGAAAATGATACATTTGAAATGGAAATCCGTCTCGGCCAAAGACCCAGACAGGTTAATCTGAATTTGATCACGGAGCCATGCATCCGTCCACAAAACGTTTCCGCCGGTTTTTTTTTTTTTTGTTGTCATTTTAACCTTGTATTCAAACGTGCCACTTGACCAGCAATCTGATTTGAACCAGCCAGCCGACCCCAGCAGGGTCGACTGGTTCAGACGTCTGCAGTAATAAGCGGGAGGTCGTACGTTCATGTCCCACCTGAGTGAGCTTGTGACTCCTTTTTGCAGAATACAGTGTTACATGGGTGTCAGGGCAAAACCTGGAATTACAAATTAACATCTGCGAACCCCAAGCTGGACCAAGAGAGGGCGCAAACTTTACTGGCAACAGAGGATCCTTAAACGGTGAGCCTCATTTCGCTGGTTCACGAACGACTATGAAATGCATGCGTAAGTCTCTCGTCGTTATCTGCAAAAGGAACGTTCCCCACCGATATAGCTCGTCAACCCATGAGTTGGTTTTCCTGCCCATGGAGGATACCCAATGCAAAAAAGTGCATCAATATCATTTTATATATATGAAGCGTCCCTGTTCGACTGATCTAGATTCCTGTCCACTGGGAACAACACTTGTACCAGGGGATATCGGTTGGGCCCTCAACCATTTTGTCTCAAGCAATGAATGAAATATTTGAAAAGAAAATAGGTGCGTTTGGCCTGCAATGTTCTCCCGGCAATTCCGTGGTCACTCCCATCCCCCCCCGCCACCACCATCGCCTGCAATTGTTCACATTAATACCACCCCAGTTCTTTTCCTCCTTCCCTTACATTTTGTCGTTTTAGCATTTTCTTTTCCTTTTTATCGAGTTATTCACATATCACTTCCCGCACCCGAAGTCATGACTCAATGGCTCACACGACTGAATGAAAATATATTAAAGGCTCGCCTCAAAAGAATGACAACTGAAGGACAAAAAGTAATATACATGTACTTCATTTCGGCGACAAAATTAATTTTAACAGACACTGATTCAGAAAAATGACGTTATTCAAATATTCTTGGCCTCGAATAAGACGAAATGTAAAATTGTTGTTACAAAATTTTCTACATTATCTCAAAATTAATCAAATCTGACAAAATGTATTAAATTTCAAACTGCATCAATGTAAAGCTCTTGTCAAAGTCCCATGTGTTCCCTTTGTATCGTTTATATCGATTACTATACAAAGCCGGGTACTTTACGGAAACAGTGTTTCAAACAGAAAGACAATCAACACCAACACCAGTGGTCACCATTATGATAATATAATTTGAAATATTTTAAAAGTTAGTATGAAAATAATACGGGCAAAGATTACATAAACATATCAGCACTATTACACTTTCACTTGACTGTCCCTCCGCCAACCCCTTTGTGCTAGTCAAAACGGCCCAAATGTAGTAGAGCATTACAAACTGTCTTCAAATAATTAAGATAGGTCCCATGCAGTCGTAATAATATACAAGCACTGAAAGTAAGTTATGTGTAAAAAGGGCATCACATCTGGCACATCTTCCCTGTTATTGTCCACAACTCACCAATATACCGTTTACCTTCAAAATATACATATATGTATAAAATGGTGAAGCCTACACGATCTAAAGTACTGATGTGAAGGAAGCGCGACGTTTAGTGCCTAGTTTGACACCAACGAACTTCATTTACTTTTCTATTTACCTTTGGCAGCCCTTTCTCAATGGCGCGTTGCTAACGAAAAAAAAGTAAACTTCTGATATAGAGCTGTAATTGCTGAGAATTCATTCACACAATGTCAGTGTAAAATGAAGTTCTTTATAATTCACATAAAACAACCTCTTACACGTTGTGTTTGATCGGTAAATCCTACATTCCTTACCTTTCGAAATATAAATGTAGCATGGGCCTAATTACTATTCTCGTTCTTAGTCGATTTGTTCCTTATTCACTCATAACCATATCTTACATTGTAGTCTATAACCTGTAATTCCTTAATTTCATTATTTCATGCTTGCATTATTCAAAACGTTTATTTTATTAGCACAAAGTATTCACTTTATAGAACGTACATTTTTCATTGGCAACAAATCAATATTCTACTTCATCCAGATCGTACTTGGCCAAAGTTGCCACTTTTTACTGGGAAGAGAGCGTGTGGCATGGGACATGGTGAAGTGCAAAATTTTATCAAGTGCAGAGTTCTTAATATGGTTATGTTTTTCTCTTATAAAACACTAGTGTCGGTGACTAGTGACTGGATTCCTGGCAGTTTTCTTTCATTTTGGTACGGATTTTCAGTGTGACGTTGAACTCGATATACATAGCAGTTTATACAGCACTTATTATATGAGTGTCTCAAGACTTGATCCGAGGGAAGGTTGGCTTTTAAGCCCTTGAATTAGCAGGAAAGATACATGACGTGGGAACCTTTATTGAACGAGGTGTCCCAAGACCATGTCTCTTTAATCGGTCTCAAGGTTGACACCACTTCTCTTTACCTTAGAAACGTGTTCCAAATCTTCATCCGTTAATGAACAACCACCCAATTCTATCAAACGAACATGCTCCATTTCTTTCAAACTAGGAGCCCACGTTTCTGCAGAACCACGTAAGAGTTTATTCCCTCTGAGGTCGACGTTTTGCAAATTTGGTAGTCGACTTAGGGCGGCAGCAATGTGTGGAATGTCGGCGCTTTGCAGATCACACGAACCCAGTCTAAGACTAAGAATGTGGACCATTTCCGTCAGACTGGGAGCCCACTCTCTCCCTGAGCCCCCCAAATGCAAGTTGCCCTCCAATTTGAGTTCTTTCAGGGCGGGCATTTGACTCACGGCCGCAGCAAGGTGTCCAATATCTGTGCTCAGCAGAATACACGCACTGAGATTTAACTCCCCGAGGTGTGTCAGCTTTTTCAAGTTGGAGGCCCAAAAGGCCGCGGAGCCACTCACACCGTAAATGTCGTGGAGGGTCACAGCGACTAAATCCTCCCGATTGCTCAATGACTGTAAAATCTCCACCACATCCGTGACAAAAAATGAGAACTTTCCAATTGTCAGTCGTGTGCCCTCGTCCGATGAACAGACTCGCAGCTCTGCCTCACCACTACCAAAATCAAATTCCATCAAATTGGCCATAAGACTGATTGTCTTTACTAGGTGAGTGACATCGCGCCTGTCTGTGTTGCAATTCGCCATTCTTAACGTCTCCAGGTGAACCATGTTCTTCAAACTAGTCGCCCATGCGCCTGCGCAGCCACCTAAAGCCTTGTTACCTGAGAGGTCAAGATCGTATAAATGTTGCAATACTCCAACCGATGCAGTGATGTACTTCATGTCTTGTTTCTCAATTTCACACGAACTCAAATCAAGTTTCTTGAGGCTCTTAAGAAATTTCAAGTGGAGGGCCCATACGTTTGCAGTGCCACCCAATTCCCCATTGTTTGACAGGTTGAGATACGTTAGATCTAATGGTTCCACCAGCCATCTCGCAACATGCGTGAAATCTTGCGCATTTATATTACATGAGCTTAAAGTGAGCGATTTCAGGTGAATTATGGTATTCAGACTGGACGCCCACGTCTCTGCATTATCATCCAAGCCGAGGCTGTTTGACACAACCAGCTCAGTCAAGTTGCCTGCCTTTCCAACTGATGATAAAATCTGACTGACGTCGCAGTCAGTCAGTATGCACGTATTAAGCTGAAGGGAACACAGACCTTTCATTTCAGCCAACGACGAACCAAAGGCCTTGCTAGATCTTGCTGGGTTACACTCGGAGACGGTCAGTGAACGTACTCGCGCAAGAAAATCACGTCCTCGGTCATGTTTCGAGATGTGCTCCAGAATCCACATGACTGAGTGTAAGGAGTCATTATTTTTATAGTCTATGGTCATTTCTTCTGTAATCAGTGAATCGATGAAGTCCACTGAAAATAAATCAGTTGACTGACTCTCGAAGTAACAATTCAGAGCTAACTCAAAATCTGTACGCGATTGAGAACCCGTGTCCACAGTGAGTTTCCCCTCAGCCCTCATCAGTGGCCTTCTCTGTGCCTTCTCCGTATGCAAGAAACCCAGGACGTGTCTTGCACACTGCTCATTATCGCCGCACAGGAACAACAAGAACTCCCGATTTTTGGAATGTCGATCAAGTATCTCCTGAAACTTTTTTGTGTCGTTGTCAAATAAACTTTGGCAGTATTTAGCTCCACAAAAGTCTTGCATTCTTTTATGAATAAATCGTATGCCGTATTGCTCAGATACCTCTCCCCTCGGGATCGGTTGCCGAGAAAGGAAACCAGCTTGTAGGGCCTTATCAAGAGCCCCTCTCTTAAATTCCTTCTCTGTAAACTCTCTTCTTTGGGATACATACCATTGCCAATCGTAAACGAAACCAAGGTCACCAAGGGGAGTCTTACCGAGGCGAGTCTTACCGAGGCGAGTCTCATCAAGAGGCGTCTCATGATGGTCGCCAAGGGCTGTCTTACCAATGGCATTTACTACTCCGGATATTTCTTCCTGTGACATATTTAAGCGTCTTGTGAATATGTATCTCACTACCTCATCAAACACGCGTGTCAGTGTTTCAGGCAGCGTAGAGTGTTTTGAGACCAAACACAGCAGGAGTAGCAACTTCATGTCCTTTGCCAAATCTGAGAGATGCTTTGAAGATTTGATTCTCTTTAGGAGAGTTTCAGCCTGGCCTGTTTCTTCTGAGCAAATTTGGCTAACAAACTCCTCAATTCGGTCTCCAAAGACCCCTGGAAGAGCCACATGGATATAAGGTTCTTGGAGCAGTGATTTGTCCACCAAGGCTTGAATTTTGTTTGGATATGTTGTTATTAACACCGTTGACCCACTTGCTACCATGCGACGTAGTATTTGGCGAACAGAACCGAATTTAGTCTCAACAAGCTCATGGAACGGTAACTTGTCAAAATTGTCCAGAAGGAGCAGCATCTCGTGAGACTTGGCGTCAATAAAAGAGAGTAAGTCGTCTTTGTTGATATCTCTGTGCTGCCACAACAGTTGATCATAAATTGTGTCAACAAAGTCAGACTCTTCTTGAAAGGCTCCCATTTGCAGCAAAACAACAAGTTTAAACTTTTGGAGTATGGAACTGGAACCAGCTGCCCAATCGTATGCAATGTTTTCCAAGAGAAAGGACCTTTCTTTATCATCTTTTCCAGTAAGAACGACCACTTCAGCTGGACCACGCTCTGAGGTTTTCATGTGGAATATATCTTCATAATTTTGTATTCTTTTGTCACTTTCTCCAAACAGGAGCTTTGGTACAATCACCTGCTTAGTTTTGTCGTCTACCCATTTGATCATTTGTGCATAGCTACCTGTGGTCGTGTACAATGCCCTCAATGCCTCTCCACATCTATCCGCAGCATGCTCGGCTGGATCGCCACCGTAAGCTCTTGTTTCTGAGCTGGTTAGCAGAAACTGTTTTTGCGGCATTTCCCCCTTGATGGTTACGTCGTCTTCGTGACCTTTACAAGAAACAATTATTGAATCATATCACTGTTTATTTCTGTGCATTCACTATGTTATAAACAAACGGTGCCATTTCATTTCTGGACCCTTGAATATTATACGCTAGCTCAAAGCCCACTCCATATCAGTCTAAATCTTTTGTTTTCTTTGAGCAAGCGCCTGAGCTTTGGCAGTCCCATCTTTTTAGTTTGTTGTGTAACCATTTGATCATCTGTGCATAGCTACCTGAGGTCGCATGTGATGCCTTTGTTGCCTCTTCGAATCTATCCACGGCATTTCCAGCTGAATGAGGACTGCGAAAGGTCGTTAATGAGATGTCCTTTCCAAACTGCTTTTCATGGATTTCCGTCTTCCTGCTTACATCCCTTCCACGAACTGCACACAAGTTATTGAATCAAAGAGATGTTCAGGTTGAGCCATTTTTTCCAAGTTTTGTCATTGATCTTCCATCCTTTGCGCCTCTGTCAAATTTTTATTACTTTTCAGAATGAAAATGTTAAAAACGCTTTAGGTGCTTAAAAATGAATGGAAAAAAGGAGTCTCAGGTTTAGCAAAATTAGTGTACACCTTCTCTTCATTTTGTTGTACAGTAAGCTTCCAAATCTGTAAACAAGGCTACAGAATAATGAGTTAGAATTCTAATTGATCAATTTATTAGTACATTCCAATATGTCAAGTCTGTTGAAAGCGACTGTAAAAACTAGATCATAAGTTTTTAACAAACTAGTATTTACCTTCATCCATTGTACTTTCCAGCTCATCAAAGAATCTACAGGCCTGTTCATAGTCACTTTCCGGTATAGTCACCTGGATGGACAAGTCAGTCTTATCTTCTGTTGTTAATTCATCCGTGATGAAAATCTCCGTCAGTTTCATTGCAAGTTCTCCGGTGACGTACATTGTCCACAGTTTCTCCAATCCAACGCGACTCAAGATGCGAACAACAAAGGTGATAGATCCAGATTTGACTTGTTCAACCTGTCCGTCCAATGAATCTATAAAGGCATAGAACACATCAAGCATATATGCCTTTCCGTGTTTCTTGGTGACGTTTGTCAGTGATTTCAATAAAAGGAGTGTATTGATGTCGTCCTTCAGCTCGTTCCTCACTACATCTGTTGCTATCGACAACCTTGGGGACTCTGCAAAGATAATATTGGAATTCGAACATTATAAGAATAAGGAAAATCAATGCCACACTTAGAGCCAAACAAAACATTTATATTAAGATGAGATTTAATTGGACACTGTGCACTGAGCTTTTGAAAAAACACTATTATTTAACCCCTTTCTGTAAGCATTTGTGGTTTCTTTTCACTAACCTGAGCTCGGTCTTGGCAGAGTCACATTTTGAGTGAAATGAATAGTTGGGTTATGAACGGGCCCAAGGAAAGTAGGATTGTTGCTACCACTGACAGCGAGGTCCACTGAAACTTTCTGCCAAGCCATGCCTTTCTGCACTTCAGATAATGGAGGTGTGTCTTTCCATGGTGCTAAGGCTTGGCTGCTCAGATCTGAATTTGCAGTCTGCTGCTGTCTCGCTTGCACGGCTGGTATCAGGTTTCTCGGGCCAACCGGATGCTGGTCCTGCCTGTCTGCATAGACAGGCTCTTCTTGTCTGCTATGTTCAGTTAAGTGGTGATTAGGTTTTGTTGTGTCTCCCCTCTCCGTAGCTTCACTTCTAACTTGACGTCCGGCTTCCTTCTCCTCATGTGACACCAGTGCATGTATTCGATGAGTGTCTGGATTGGAAGCTTGGTATAACTGAGGGCTCTGTGCTCTGATCTTACACTGGTCGTCTGGCTGCATCTGTGGTCTCCCTAGTGTTGTGGCATTTTCTTTCCGATTTGAACTACTGATCTGACCCTTTTCCTGCTTTCCTGTGAGGTGTCTAGGTTGGTCATTATCATGTGCATGATCCCCAGCAAAAGTCTTTCCCTTCCAATCATCTAATGCTGCTGATGCGAGTTGCGGAGTCATAGTCTCTTCCATCTGTTCTTCCTGTGACTGAGGCATGTTTAGACTGCCGATTGTCCCCACTCCAAGTCCAGACTGAGGCCTGTTTAGACTGCCGATTGTTCCCACTCCAAGTCCAGCTCTCTCTGGAGATGTCTTTTGGAGAGAATCCTCTTCCCGGACACTCAATTTTACATTTTGCTGTGTTGGACTCTTTCCCTCGGATGTTTCCATCATCTTTGCTGAAGAGTCTTGAGCTTCATACCCGGGGCTCTGCTGTTCTCTTCGTTCAGATTTCTCTTGTGATCCAGCCGGTACGTTCGCCTTGTTGCCAGTCTTTTGTTTTGTCACATCATTTGGATCTGAGGGGTGATAGTGAAAGCAAACGTAAATGCTCAAAGAACGGGTTCAATTTGGTGCACAGCATCTCCGTGTATAGTGAAACCAATGTTAACAAAGACTTCATAATAATTACTGAGCTCGTGAAGATCTGTAGCCTTTGTGAAATAAGTTTTCAAGTTAAATTTAGATGCTGATTCAACATTAGTTTGTAACGTTAACAGAATGCTGTTTTGATGTTGTTTTTACCACGCAAATGGTGACTATTTTGTCATCGAGTTCACACTTTAAACGTAACAATGATTGATCGCGGCAAAGTAGCAATATGGCAAATATGCAGTAACTTTCCCAGTGACCTTTTCGTCCACCACCCAGTAGGCCGACAGTTGAAAGACGGAGGAAGATAGTTTCGTCTTGTTGAATCCCGCAGTCGTCGAGTGTGAGCAAGTCATCAAGCTGAGAAAGAAATTGACAGACTCTTACGATAAAACATGAATTTTCTTAGAATCCTTTCTAATGACATTAGTGTGGTGTTCACACTGAACAAGCAGAAAATTGACAGAAAATTGATGCCGAATATATAATTTTCAATAATTGAACCTGAGGTCATGATCTAAAAATCGCTGGTTTAGCCAGAAAATTAAAGAAAATTCTTTTGCGGAGTAAATTAACATATCTTGGCATCTCTACCTGGAAGTTACAAAAAGTTCTCCGGATATGTAGACACTGATGTTTGGGCTGGACGTTGATCTTACTGTTTATTAAATCTTTCAAAGATGAGATGGATGTCTCCGGATCCAGATGGAAACAAAATGTCTTGAGTCCATGAAGAAGGGGACTCCGGACAAAGATCTGCAACCTCCGTTTCACAGACCTGAAAATGGCCGAAATGGAGTTTTCCTCATTTGGTTTTTTACCCTTCATAAGCACATTACACATTTTGTTCCCATTTTAAGGAAGTGCCACTTCCTGGTGCTTAGCATTAGTGCTGTCCAACTGAGTAAAAACAGTGCTGATTTTGCCAAGAAAAGATTTGGCAGCGACTTCAACAAAGCTTAACCAGTTAGTACACACAGGACATTTGTTTTCCTCGGTTTGGGCCACAGATTTTTCCTTCTTGAGGTAGATTTATTGAGATGATGCATACAGTGCCTTACCGGGAAGGCCAAGGTTTTCCTATGTTACAAGCTTTCTCCTTTCTCAGTTTTTGTTCCTCGATTTCTGGTACTTCCTTTTGTTTGCTCTGCCCCTCTGCTCTTGTTTCATCATTTTTCTCTGGATGGAGTCTTTCAACTTCGTCTTTAGGTTGGTAATTTTCTGCAAAATTGAGAAAACGTTTGTTAATCCCCAAGGTATAAAAATGGTCCTGATTAAAATGCACCATTCATTCACAGCAAACCACTGTTTAATTTTTTCTACATTCTACTGTCGATTTTTCTCTGTATACTAACAGGAGATTCTGATGGAAGTGTATTTAGAACATGGTAAGAAAACAATTTAATAAGTACGTATGGATTACGACACGTATTTCGTACATGTATGTACGGATTACTAAACTGTACGTATGGATTAGTAATCCACATGTTGCATTGCATGACTACACTTCAATTCCTTCGACCTGAGCGGGACCAAGAGAGGGTGTGATTTCCTAGCAACGGAGACTCCTATGGTAGGAACTACATGTAAACTTTGCTGGTTCCAGAAGGACTATGCCATACATTGTACATGCCTTGAGTATGCATCCGACCTACCAACAAAACAGCATTTCCACCAACATGGCTCTTTTCAACAGATGAGGGGATGCTTCTGCTCAAGGCAGAATTTGGAAGGTGTCTAGGATCATTATTTACAAATTTGTAGCAGCAATCTGTACGTATGAAAAAGTGATCCGTACATACGGTTGCGTAACCCGTTCATATGAATTAAATATTTTTCTTACCATGTGCTAGATACAGTTCCTTAAGAATCTCCTGTTGGTATACAGAGAAAAATTGACAGTAGAACATACTGTGCTAAAACAGTTACTTCTGTAAAGCCAATTGACAATAGAATCTACTGTCAGACATTTTTTAACAGGGTGGGTCAAACAAAAACCATGCGTTGTGGTCTGCAATGAGTGAGCCAGCTTCTCAGCTGCTTGGTCTCAATCTGTCGTCTTTTAAGTTTTCTTCAGTAAGTGTCACCTTATGGCTGGATTTCATGGATCAAAAGCAGATGTGCACGATCAGTCGGCCTACTACATTGTAACTACATACATATTCACATGCAACAAAAAATTTAAAGGAAAAGATCAATTTCCTAATTCTGACGATAAAACTGAAAATCTCATGAGATATGTCCTCATTTGTTCTCTTCAGACAGTTATAAACTTTGGGTCTTGCCTTTTGATCCTTCCTGAGTTGCGTCATCAGTTGATGGACGGACTGAGATGATTTCGTCTTTGTGAACACCATTTTCTTCAAGTGTAAGGACATTGCAGAGCTGACAAAGCAGTCAGACCAAGAAGATTTCAATGAAAAGGAAATGTCTATAGTCACAATGCAAGTTGGAGTCTTAATCTTGCATTATACACCATTAAAGGGTACTTAACAAGTATCGTTTATTTCTGTTGTTTTTAAAAAGGAAATGTGGTTCTATGAGAGAAATTTGGAAGTTTGGGACTCAATCAAATCCCTGCTTAGAGCTACACTTGAAGTTCACTTTGCAAAAGTTTGGCACTGAGGTTTTCCATGTCTCACAGACATGACAAGATATCAGGTGTAATTTTACCATAAAACCTCAATAGTTGATAGAGTACTTTGCCATCAACTATACAAAACTCTGAACTTTGACAAAGGTTCCTCTATGGAACCCCTGCCAACCAGTGTATTGTGTTGGGGGGGGCTGGAAAATTTTCTGGACATGACTGTCCAATATGTTTCATCCATAACAGAATCCTCATACATCATAACTCCACTGCTGAAAGAAACAGGTGTATGCTGGTGCTTTTAATTCCCCCAAATACTGCAACATGTCATCAAGGGGGGCCAGTCCCCCCCCCACTGGATACCCCATTGCTGCCAACTCCAATTCCTCCCTGCTTATAAGACAGGCTTAGTACCTGTGTCATGTTGATTGAAACAGAAGAACATCGTTACCTGAATGTTGTCAGAGATGTGCAGACGTTGAATTTGAGGCCTGACCCCGATCTTCCTGTGAATCATCCCTTTCAAGAATGAGACAGGATTTGTAAAAGAATAAATAGTGGCCATAGCAAAGAACACACACTTTGATGTATTTATTAAAGACTCCATCATGAGTTTAAGAATGTGATTCAAAGGTGTGTAAATGATATGCACTTCATCTCTGTTTCAATCTTCCTATTCTTGTTATGCCTTGGTTTATTTTAGCATTCTTGGTTTGTATAGGCCTACATGTACAGATTTACAGTAATAGCATATCTTAAGGAAAGAGTGTCGTCCAACAATTTATAAACATCAATGTTTTACCTATTTTGGCATTAGCATTTGCTAAAAGTGTATGCGCATGTTTGTAAATTGTGATTGTTTTTGTACTATCTTGAAGTGTGCCAATAAATTAAACAATGTACACTTGTATATGTACAGTGTACATGCATATATTGTACTTGAAAAAGAATTTGATAAACATCGTACTGTTATGGCTTCAAAGCAATGGTACCTTTGGTCGTGTCACCAGAATACGGGCAGTCAGTGTCATATCAGCTTCTCTTGTTCAAGTATTAAGACTGTTAAAATTTTTTTTACACATTCAACAGTAGAAGAAAGTTCACAAAATGTGTGCCTACACATGTACATGTAGGTATAAAATGTATTTGGAATCTTGAACACTACTGACCAGAACCCTTTAGGTTCCACTTCATTCGGCCAGCAACTATAATTTTCTTTGACATTTTAATTAATCTTAACATATTGGAACAAGGGCTGTTATGTAGCGAAGACTACATGTACTTTCAGGGTCGACATGCCCCCTCTTCTTCCTTTAAATGCCAAGAAAACGGGAACAAAGGCATGGTATCCAATTCAAGAAAACTTAAAGTTTATGATCCTTTTGCAAATCAAGGTGTTCTTCAAAAAAAGTGGCCGAGAAAATTCTGGAGGATCAAAGAGCCAACACAAGGTAAATTTGAATGTGTACTCACATATAGGCCTACATGTATTCAGCTGATATTGCCAATCGGGCTGCGGCGCCTACTTTTTCCCGCAATTAAGAATAATGCAATTAAAACATATATCTACATGCATTGCATACGCCAACTTTTCATCAATTATGCATGTAAGCACATACATGTAGGTGTACGTATACTGAATGTACAGTGTGCACTAACCGGTACTGTACATTCAAATGGCATCGCTGTTTATGATACAGTTCACATAGGCAATCCAGCAAAAGGTCACGGCTGATGACATGGTCGAGGGATTGTGCACCCTCCCTCGGCCCCTACACACACACCCACACAGGCGGCGCTGCACGATTGAAAGTTAAGTCTAGGCCTACTGTGCAACACAATGCATTCATGCAGTCTTGTTTCAAATTAAAACTGCATAGTTAGGGCTACATTGCCTAGGTCGACGATCCATTTCCGGGTTTACCGCACATAAACATGTAGGCCTGCATGTATACATATATACATGTACATGTAGGCCTACGCCGCACACTGAATTGGTGCAAATTGGAATGGGCCTATTTATTTACATGTACTTTGATCCGGCATGTCCCCATATACACAACACACGCCTCCATAATTAAGCACACTGTTCGCGATCGCACAGTACATGTAAGTTCGAGGTGTGTAGTGCTGGTGGTGACCACTACAACTGCTGGCATGATCAGCCAGTCAGGCTTAGCCGCAGAATTAGCTCTACTGGGTGGAGCCTTAGTAGGGCCATGCATGGCCAGACCCTATTCCTCTTTTTCGAATTTTGCATGTTTTCGACTGGAGTAACTAACGCTCCACTCAGTAGAGCTAGGCCTACCACAGACTTGCTTATTTCCAGACAACCTTCTTGACTCAATGGCCCTTTGTCGAGGAAAAAAACAAATTCTTACTTGGATGTCCCGACAATTCCCTTTCCGGACTTCAGCATCGAACATTCACAGCATACGACAGAGAAACTTAGAAAGCTCTCATCACACCACCCATACCAGGTAACTTGATTCACGAAGTTGGATTCTTAGGAGTCTGTACGTGCTCTCTTTTGTATGGCGCGCAAAAATGGTTTAAATTGAAATTATAATTGGCGTCTTCGTTTCTGACGATAGTGTCCTCTACCTTCACACATTTGGCTCCAACTCCCCACAGCTAATTAGTTGGCGTTGCAGGTTTGTGCAGTATGTCCCGTTCTGCAAAATACATGTTGTCTACATAAGTTATCCCTTCCCGACTTCCTCACCCGTCCGACGATCGAGACTATCAGGCCTAGCTAGGCCACGCCAAAAGATTCGGGTGGTTTATGCCAATTTGTGAACACGGGTGACTCACAAAAGTGCGCCTCCAAGAGTTTGCAACACACCGGCCAATCATAATTCGCGAAATCTGTCGACCAAATGCGCGTTTGGAAAGGGTTGACAAATTCACGCATTGTGATTGGTCAACACGCGTTGCAAACTCTTGGAGGCTCTCTATTGTGAAACGCACGTATATCGGTAGACATTGTCAATAATGAGTTTGGGTCGTATTTACTACATGTATCTCAATTATATATAACGGGTTTGCCCGTACCCAACGTATATTAATAAGCACTGTATGCTTAGTGCTTGTCTAAGAGCTTGTGAAAAAAACGTCACAAGCTTACTCGGGAGGGACTCGAACCCACGACCTCCTGCTTACTAGTGCAGATGTCTTAACCACTGCACTAGTAAGCAGGAGGTCGTGCAGGTTCGAGTCCCTCCCGAGTAAGCTTGTGAGGTTTTTCGCAAGCTCTCAGACAAGCACTAAGTATACAGTGCTTATTAATATACGTTAGGTAAGGGCAAACCCGTTGTATATAATTAACATCTCCCCAACGCAAAAATTACATCTTGGAAAATACATGTATCTCATTAGCTCGTATTCATCGAGAACTAACAAACGATCGTTATCACATGTATTTTGGTCATCGATTATACATATTCAGAATACAAAATTCACCACAACTGAAAGATCTTCGTCATCAGCAACAGTATTCATACGAACATACGAGGGCAAATGTTACGAAATTGCTTTTTTATGGTCCGACCTAAAGAGCAATAGCTTACCAAAACACCACCTCGAAAATAACTGGCGTCGGAAATTGTCAAAATCACTACAAAACGGGCAAAATAAAGTGGTTGTTTTACGTCGCGTGCCATACCATAAACTTGTTCACTAGTCGGTATATAGTCGTGTTTTGTGTGGGACCCGCTCTGGTAAGAAAGATGTAGTGCACGTGCTTGAGTTCCGACGATATTTTATTCAAAGGTCAACCATCATTATGTATGTGTTTCGGACTGTGTACCAATAATGTACCGTGTGGATAGTCTGGGGCAAAATTGAATTATCTACCGACTTGCCACTGAGTCTAACCATACAACAACGTGTTGATTGAATCGGCATCGATCGCATGCCGTACGTACGTTGGAAAGATACATGTAATAGCATAGCACCGCGTTTGCCAGATCGCAAGTTTTATCAAGGAGGAAGGAGTGGTTTTATGGAGTTCAAAATGAGTCCATTCGATCACTGAAGTCGACTCAAAAATGATTCTGTTTGCCGTGATATCATTCAAGTAGGTTAGTCCAATCAACTCCAGCTGAATGCTGTTCAAACTGAACATGGCTCGCTGTGAAAAATGAGGCCTCGATTGGGCTGGCCAGCCGCCCAGCACGAGTCGTGTGGCCCGGGTAGCTCAGTGGGGTGTAAGGTCAACTCGACCGTTTGCCAACTCGACTCTCGACCAACTCGACCGTGCAAACGGTGCAACAGCCTGACAGGGACCGGGCCTTGAAGGAACGTATTTTTCCTAGTTGTGGATCGCTCGTATAATTCGTTTTACAGTGCGTGATGTGATCTGTGCATGTGCACAGTGTGGTGACATATTTCGGGGGCTCATGAGTACGTGCTTCTCAAATTGGGGAGGGAATTTTTTAAAGTATCTCATTGGCACAAGTTCATTTATTGATTGCATTTCAGTTGATTTTGTGGGTTCATTGAGTTGGTAAATGGTCGAGTTGACTCAACTTTGAGTTGGTTGATGGTCGAGTTGGTCAGGAATCGAGTTGACTCGAGTCGAGTTGGCAAACGGTCAAGTTGACCTACAACTGCCTAGTGAGACTTCATGATGCGGAAGTACATGAACTGTACTTCCCGAATGGTTAGGTACTAATTTAAGGTAAGGTAAGCTACTCCGGAGTACTAGTACCTCACCGTTCGGGGAGTACTTGAACTGGTGAAGGCATGTTTTTTCCACTTAAAAAAAAAAAATCATTGACTGTACAGCCAGGAGGGACTGCGGTCTTGTGCTATGCTTGGCATTTTCCCCACCTCCATACTGTACATCGTGTTAATGCCCTGTGGGCCCTTGCAATTTGCAGGTTAATAATATCAGAGCTTTTTCTACAACTCACATGGTCAGGCTGATGGTTAAAATAGCTTGGTACGTGAGTTGCCATTGCCAGTGTTTGGTTATGCCACGGTTTGTACAACTGGAGGTTAAACATGGTGGTACCCATTCATGTGTATCAAAAAAATCTACTTGTATGCATGATGGACAGATGGGAAGATTATGAATACATGTACATGTACACAAGCAGAGGTAGGATTTGTTGTTGGCATGGAGCCATGGTGGTGGGTGTGAAGTAAAATAACAAAAAATTAGCCTGGCCATGGCAAGTTTAAAAGAAGGCAGGAAAGACGGTGCTGACTCCATAATATACATGTACATGCAAATGGGTGTTCTTCATGATACACTCTGTAGAATAGGGCCCGATGATCGGTCAGTCAATTTTGTGTGAAGTCTCTGACTTTACTTCCCTGGTTTTAAAACAATCTTCCACAACCAAGAAGTAGATCGAGAAACTGCAGTTTGCTGTGGCAGAATTTATTGACAAATTGTGTGTTTTAGTTTGCTCTGTGTACTAACAAATGCAAATGCTTACACTGTGCATGTGTTCACTGCAGATGAATGTTGCTGAGGCTGTGCTATGGATAGAAACATACCGGTGTTTTGTGCTTACTACACATGCAGTATGTTCTCTGTGTTCCTTCCTCCATGCTATGACATAGCATTGCATTATTCAGAATTGGTTCCATCTTATTTCATCATGTTCTGAAAACGGGCACGAATGAAACATGTCAAAAACAATTCTGTGCGGGGAATGACTTGCCTGTGGTGTCCTTAGTCATGTTAGTGTTGTGCATGTCCTTAGTGTGGTGCACTGTGGTGTTGTATGTGTGGCAGAAGATGCATGTACTTGGATGCTTTTGTTCACACTTTACAGGGTGGATTACCTGTGACTATGCATGTACATGTACGTGCAGCCTTGTGGTGAGGTTATTACTTAGATGCCACAGGAGACCATTCAGCAGTTGGATGAAGACAACAAGGCAACAGCCGTCATGTACAACCATGACATAGCCAAACTCATCACCAGGAAGAGCAAAGTGATGAAATGCAGAAGGGAAGCTTTCATGTCAGTGCTTCCATACAGGAGACTGTCTTCTCACCATAATCCTGCTTTTAACAAACTGCCGTCCTCATTAAGTACCCGCAAGCCGAAAAGTAAGACTATGAAAGAAAGATAGGAATTTCTGTACATTGCGGGACACTGGGACGGTAATTATGCCATTATGTGTATCTTTCCTTGCTATTTGCCATTGGCATTTGACACTTTTAGAGAATGTTATGGCGTAACCAGTGCAGTTTTCAGACATTCACATAAATATAAATTTCTAACCTGTTCCCAACCTCCATTAATGCGAGAAGAGCAAGGCTTTTTTTGGGGCCTGGTGGCAGCGTGGGGCAGAGGGGGGATAGAATCTGCACCAAGATCTTGCCACTGCATTCTTCTTGAAACTTGGCATGTAGGCAGAAATTTTTGTCATGTTTCCAATTTGATTCAGTAGAGGGTTTTGTTATGGCCACTGATCCATGTCGTTCACTACCTGTATCTTACACACAGTGTCAAAGTAGTTACTGTGGGATGTAAGTTTCCAAAAGAAAAAAAAGTACTGCACAAATATCAGGCATGATACTTGAAAAAGTACCATGCCTGATATTTGTGCAGTATGTAAAATTGGTGTCAAGTTATAATCATAAGGCATTTATGGAAAAAAGTCCTGTATCTGGTCTCACAAAAAACTGCATTTCTAAGAAAATGTTGGTACATGTACATGCAACCCCCTTGATTCTTTTAAAGTGAAGTAATAATGTTTGTAAGACATTAACTGAAAAACAATTAGCTCTTCTTGTGGAAAATTTCTATTACCCATGCTGCTTTTTTACACCGTCTCTTCATTTTTATTACAGTGCCATCTGCACTAAGAAACAGAAGCTGCTGCTTTCTGTTCAGACTCATCTCCCACACAGATCAACGACACTTGATTTTGAATTGGATCCAGAGATATCCATCTCATCATTGAAAGAGTTGATACACAGGATGATTGGTGTCCCACCTCAACACCAGCATCTTTACACCCAAGCAAACTTTCAGGTAAAGAGAGTGCAAACTTTTTTCCAATTTCGGTTTAACTTCACAGCCTTTACCAGCAAGAGTTCTAGTAGAGACCTTGCCACAGTGCCACTGTCTGATGGTCACCAGCAAAAATCTTTGTGACATGGACAAATGTGATAATGGAAAAGTCATGCAAGGTGGAACTCACGCAAGATTCAGTCCAAATTCACTCATATAGAGTACATGTGTGTACCCAGTTACCCCCCCCCCACTATGGATGAAATGAGCATAAGTACATGTAGATAAAAACGAAACTTAAATTTATAATTCTGTTGTTGGCACTACATAGTGATTCACTCCAAATTCAAAAGGTACTATGTAAATGTAAAAGATCATAACTTTTCAAAAGGAAGGGCATGAATTAAACAGCAATGATAAAATGCTGGCGAGCATGTAGCATGAATCCCTTACTTTGCATTCCGTGCAGTCTGGTGCGATTTCAGGCTGCATAACCCCCTGTTGTCCCTGATCTGCACCTGGTAATGGAATGTTGCACAGATTTACTTCATGTCATCTGCAATGGAAGAAGGGGTTTCGTTGCACCGGAGTTTATGGAGTGGGAGACTTCAAGGAATCCCTCATTCTGCTGGGAGTTCCTTTATTTCGAGAGAAAGTTTGGTTTTTTTGCTTGTGATGTTTGATTATTATTTGGTTTTGTTGGAATTTTTTTTAGTTCTTTGTAATGTTTGCTCTGCTAGCTCTTCGATTTGCTTCATGAAAATGGCATTGACAAAAACAAAATCATCTCATTGTCAACTGATGAACCGACTCAAGATGGACCAAAAGGTAACTGCTGAAGTTTAGGATTTTTCAACTTAATTTGATAACAGGATTAATTTGCAGACAGTCTTTGGATCAATTTAAGCCTCAGAATTGGCCTGGGCTTTGTCAAGATAGTGGTTTTAAAAGGTACTATGTAAATGTAAAAGATCATATGACTTAATTGTTCATGCCTTATACAACTTTCTTGAGATATTAGGTCAGTGGTAAAATGAAAAGAATCCAATACTGTTACATGTACCTGCAGGAAAATCAATAACTTTTATGCTTTTTGAAAATTTAGGACATACATGTCAAAATGATTTTTCTTTATAATATCCGCCGGGCATATTCTCCAAATGGAAAGACGTGTTCCACCTCACTTGTCTGGAACGGGTGATGGAGAAGCAGAATCTGCCCAAATTCAAATTGTCAGTAAATATAAATATTTAAATATATAAATGCTACTCACTCGGTTAGCAAAAGCTACTCACTCGAGCAAAAATGGACAGATCCTGTCAAAGCATCGTAGAAACTGAAACGTGCATCTTTGACTCTAGTTTGTGGTCTGCCCAATAAAATTGCCAGGTTCAGCAATTGGGATGCTGATCATGTTAACATTTCAGATTGACTTGAAGCTTTTGTTGGGGCCTGTGGCTCATGAAATGACAGGATCTTTATTAGTTCATGTCGTTTTACCCTGTGAAACACAGCAACACTGAAATGATTGACATCGTGCCATAGAATCTAAATGAATAATGCTCATTTCGCACTAGGGCTCATCTCATCAGCCACGTACATGCACTTTCCATTGCATCCTGAGGCTTTTTAGTAGCAACCCAGCAGTTCACTTTGTCTTTGCCATGCATATTAGACAATTCTGGTTATAGTTTAATAATTGCTGGTGTCTGTTATTTTGGTAAATTGGTTCTCCACTTTTGTTTTTTGTCCTATTTTCCAGTGGGTCATCAAAATACAAAAATTAGATCAATAAAAGGTCTCGTAATTTCCTGGGTGATTTTAAGACTTGGAATCAAGATTTCAGTATTTGGACCAAAATGACAAACGCCATCCTCATTTGGAATGTTTTTGATATCCTACAAAACATTTTTGTGGCTAAAACTGATTGAGCCTTCAACCATTTCCATTTTTGGTCTTCAGCAACCTGCCAATTTGGAGATGAAGCAGAAAGACCCCTGCCAGAGACACATTACAAAACAAGATCAGAGACGGAACAAAATGAAGCTACATTACGTGAGGAACAGAACCCGGGAAATAGACAAACTCCTGATAAAGACAAACCAGAGGTTTTGAGGTAAAGTTTTGTGCTATAATACAGCTATAGAGAGATGGCTCATTACGAAAACTTGTTATTTAAAATTTGAAATTGAATTGTTTCTCAACTGAACAGATATTCAAAACAATATGCAGAATCCCGGTTTTAATGTGCTTGGAAAAAGTAACATGTAATAAGAGTAATCCATTTTCAATTTCAGATGTGGGAAACAGAAGTTGCAGGTCTTCGTCCGTAATCCCCTCCTTCATGGACCGAAGACACTCTGTTTTCATCTGCATTCAGAGACATTGGTCTCAACCTTGAAAGAGTCTGTATACAGGAAAATCGGTATCCAGCCCCAACATCAGCTTCTACACATTAAGAGAAATGTTCTTAACTTTCAGGTAAAAATACCTTTTTTTTACTATGCATTCCTGTATTTCTTTTTAAAAACATTAACCTGAGTTTCCTGTATTAAAATTGTTTTTTGCTAAAAAAAATCGTAACCGCGCATTTTATGCAATTTGGTTTTTTGAAGAGTTTGATTTATATTTACCTAAAAAAGGAAGAGTATTGCATAATTGGGATGTAATATTAGTGAATGTTTAAACGTTGCATCTTCACTATACATCATTGCGTTTGTGCTTAAATGTTGTTTCTTGATCTGCGCTTTCAACACAAACTGCCGTGTACGTGTAGTCATGTTGTGCAAAACATTGTATCTCACAATTTGCACGAAATCAATATTTTCCTGTGTTTTCTTTTGTCCCCCTTTCAAGGCAACTGATAATAGTTTAAATTTAACCCCAAATCATTCAATTAATAATTTGAAATTTATAATAATAAGAAATGCATCTATTTAGTGAATGTGAGCAATAAATGTAAATTTTGCAGAAAGTACAAACGTTTTGTATGAATACAGTAGCATTTGCCAGTGACTGGTGATTCAGATGGAACTTAAAATTTTTAACATCAGGTTCAAGACATGGGAGGGAAATTTTACTCAAACCTCAGATGATTTAAGGATTTGATTGTCAGGGTAAACCCTGCATACACGTATTGAACTGTGAGCTGGCCCACTTCACTGATTTCAGTGACCAGATGGAAGGAAAAAGCAAAATAATTTAGATATTTAGAAATACATCAGTTTCAAATCATTCACAATGATAAAGAGGGACACAGAATACAAGATTGATTTAGTTGAAGGGGAAATATAGAATTAACCCTAACAGTTCTCAATCCTTCACCTGTTGGAGGACTGAGGACTGTCAGGGTTAATATACTATTATACTATGTAGAATTTATTTTAGGCCTTTTTGAAAACACTCGCTCTTGGTTTAGGCACTAGAAGTTTGACAAACTTTCTTTGACCACCTCAAATGTATGAGTTCCCCAGGGGAAACCCTGCTGACAGTAATAATTTATTACTTTATGGAAGATTTATCACCTACATGCTTAGTCAGGCCATCATGATGTGTTCAATGCAAAAATATCAAATCTCAACCAGTTACGATATTTTGACTAGAACACGCAATGCATGTCATTTAAGTAAAACCATTGTATGTTGATCTCATTCCTTTCAAAGTTCATTGATATAAAATGAAATGAGATATATGTAAATTCACAAGGAAAGAAATGTGCTTGTTAATTTATTATCTGCCTAAAGTTTCATGTTTCTGTGATTTAATTCAACACAGAAATTTACCGTGAGGCCTCAAACCTATATATGCACTTTTCTTAAAGTTACTCAAAACTAAGAGACAACATGTTTGCACTGACACAACAACACAGATTTTTTTTCTTTTGTATTCGACAATATACTTATAGCTGTATCTTGGAGCACGTTCATCAGATTTACCAAGATTGTTGGGAAGTGATCTTTGATGATTTGTGTGTTTTTCACTTTTTTGTCTTGCCAGCTCCATGACTTGCTTACACTTAATGAATGTGGCATTCAGCAAGATGAAAACATCTCACTGTGTCTGCCTGCACGTGGCCTGCTTGGAGGTGGACGAAAAGGTGCATGACAATATGAACACTTGTCCTCATTTCTTTTTTAATACTGATCAAACCAAATTCGAATTTGAGTTTTTGTGCATAACAGCATTCTATTTATGGTGGATAAGGAAACTTAATGTTACATGGCAACTCTAATCACCCTGTTTGTATGAACCACCAAATGTGCAATGTCAAATGTTAATGATTTCCCAGGTATCAGATTTTTAACCCTTTCTGAATGTTGATTTCAGTGTAGACTTGTTATACAGCAAATTGAGAACCTAAACATGTACATTGGCTTTGCCTTTTGTTACAGATCCAAAGGATCTAGCAATGCAACATACTGACAAACCGAAAAATGATGGCATTGCTGATACAGCAGCTGAATCTCAGCAAAGAGGACAACAGAGTTGCAAGTCTGAAGCACAAGACTCTCCAGTAAAAATGATGGAGACATCTCAGGGAGTTAGCTCATCACAGCAGAAAGAAAGGACACAAGGACAGGATTCTCAGCAAGGATCAATTGAGACAGCTCGTTCTAGACAGGGGGAGATTGGCCATCTAAAGGAGCCTCAGTCACAGGAAGAGCAGATAGAAGAGGTCACAGACATAAGCATTCCACTCCCTTCAGCAGCATCAGCCAAGCATTGGGGACAGTCTGGTGATTTGACAGAGAGCAGTGATCAACACAGACCCCTGACAGAAAAACAGCAACAGTTTGATGAGGTCACAGACTTAAAATATAAAGAAAGAACGTTAATGCCAGCAGTACCACAGTTATGGCCAAATGATCGGCAATTGATTAGGACTAAAGTACAAAGCCCTCAGTTGTGCCAAGGTAGTGATCCAGACAGTCATCAAAAACATGCCACAGTTTCACACAAACTGCTGCAGAAACCAGGACAGGAGCAGATTGAAGATGTGTTAAAAAGTAAACCAGAAGAGAGGGGAGATATGAGAATACCTCAACATTACCAAACTGAACATACATGTATGAGACACGAGGAGCCTGGCGATCCACATAGACAGAAGCAGCAGCTAGTAGGCCCCAGAGACGTGATACCAGCAGTGCAGCCAAGACAGGAGGGGACTACAAATTCAGATCCGAGTAGCCAAGCCTTAGCATCACAGAGATACACACATCCACTATCTGAAATACAGAAATGCGTGGCTTGGCAACAAGTTTCAGGGGACCTTGCTGTCGGAGGTAGCAACAATCCTACATTTCTTGGTCCTGTTCATAACCCAACTATTCAGTTCACTCAGCATGTGACTCTGCCAAGACCGAGCTCAGGTTAGTGAAAACGAAAATACATATGCGCATGCACATGCACCGGTATGCTTACACTATCAGGGGGTTAAATATTAAGATGGTGTTAGACTGGAAAAGTGCACAGATCACATTCAAACTTCATTTTAAATCCGTACTCTGATGTTATATTTATGATTTGTGAGATCATCCAACGTTCATGTTTCACATGATCTTTCCAGAGTTTCCACAGCTACCAATAACAACTGACTTAGCGAGGAGCAGGTTGAAGAATGATGCCATGACCCAGCTTTTGTGGAAAGCACTGACAAGTGCAACTAGAAAACACGGAGAGGATTATGTAATGAATGTGTTCTTTGCTTTCATGGAATCATTAGACGGACAGGTTGAACAAGTCAAATCTGGGTCTATCACATTTGTTGTTCGCATCTTGAGTCGCGTTGGATTGGAAAAACTGTGGGACATGTACACCACTGGAGAACTCTCAAAGAAATTGTCAGAGATTTTCATCACTGATGAACTGACAAAAGAGGATAAGTCTGACCTGTCCATCCTGGTGACTATACTGGAAAGTGACTACGAACAGGCCTGCCGATTCTTTGAAGAGTTGGAGAGTGCAGGACATGAAGGTACATGTAGTTAAAATCTGGTTTATCTTTGTAGTTTACTGTTGCTTTCATCACTGGGAAAATCAGTTTGGAAATTGCCAGGGTATCTGTCTTAAGCCATTTTGGAAAGGTTATTTTGTGGTTAGTTATAGATTTCCAGATCTAGCATGATATTTGAAAGAATGGAGAAGATATGTCCAGCATCCATACTTTTAATGTACGTGTACCTTGATGTTGACATGGTTGAGGCAGTAGACTAAAGCATAATGACATCATACTTTGTTTACATGTGCACTTTTGTAATGTAATGGAAGTATGACCTTATTTTGTTTTAGGGCTGTTGTGGCATGGGTGGTAGATGTGGTTTTGTTCTTGGAGTTGACAGTGCTCTATATTTCAGTTAAAACTGAAGCTATCACTATCTCTTACAGGTGCTGCAACTGCAAAAAAGTTTGTTTTTCGTAAATTGAATAAGAAAATAAATATTTATTAGATTTCTGCTTATTTCACAGGTGATGACAAGGACACAAGAACAAAGACAGAGGTGCAGAAAAATCAACTTGGCGGAGTTCAAAGCAGCTTAGTAATGAGAGCTGACAGCAGTGATCCAGCCGAAGGTGCTGCTGATAGGTGTGAAGTGGCATTAAAGACACTATACATGAGCACAGGTACCTTTGCAAAAGTGATGAAATGGGTATCTGGTGAATCCCAGAAGATCCAAATGCCGAAGCCCCTGTTAGAAAAGGATGGAGAAAGGTTACTTCACTTTGAAGATATGTTTGTAATGACAACGCAGGATGGCAATCCTATTGAAACAGCTATTCTTACTGGTGAAGAAGGTGCAGAAATGACCTTCCTTTTGGAAAACATCGCATATGAATGGGCGGCTGGTCGTAGTCCTGTGCTCTGGAAGTTTAAACTTGTTGCTTTTCTGGAGATGGGAGCCTTTCAGCCAGAGTCAGACCTAAATGTAGTTGATACAATTTATGAACAGCTGTTGGGCAAAGACACAGATGTTGACAGGGGTGACTTGGTTTCGTTTGTTGACACCAACCCTCACAAGGTGCTTGTCCTTTTGGATGGTTGTGACAGGTTCATGACCAACGACCCTGATGAGAGCTTTGATGAGACCGTAATTGAGTCTATTATTCTCAAAATTCTCCGTTGGACCACAGCTAGGGGAATACACTTGTTAATGACCTTTTTTCATTCTAACTTTCACAATCTGAGGCGCAAATTACTGTTTCGAGAACCGTTCATCCGTGTAACAGTTGCAGGGGTCTCTGAGGAGGAGATAGAGAAGTATGTGAAAGCATTTTACTCGAAGGAACCTGGCAAGGCCGAGAATTTCCTTAGGAGGATCCAGTCTTCAGAGCTTCTGTCTGATTGGGCTAAGAATGTGAAGTTGGTACCCTTGCTGTGTTTGATATTGAAAAACTCAGGACTGCCAGAAACAATGACACGCCTTTATGATAAGGCACTCAAATACATATTCACAAGACACTCAGACATGTCACAAGATGAAATATCCCAAGCAGTGATTGCCCTTGGTAAGACAGCCCTGTCTGGCCTTGTTTCCCTTGAGCAAAGGTTTTCACTTGGAGAGTTTCCAGAGAAAGAGTTCGATGAAGGGGTTTTGGATAAGGCCTTACAAGCTGGTCTCCTTACTCGGCAACCGGCTCTGAGTCTGAGCGGGCAAAAATCAAATGTGTGCAGCATTAAATTTTGTCACCCTAAAATTCAAGATTTTTGCACAGCTAAATACTGCCAAAGTGTAGCTGACAAAGACATTGCTGAATTTCAGAAGATTCTTGATCGGATTTCTGATCCTGGTGCTTTCGAGTTTCTGTTGTACATCTGCTGTGGAGACAATGAGCACTGTGCAAGATATATTGTGAATATGCTGCTCATGAAGGGGTATACTCCGATGAAATTCGTATTGCAGACGAAGCAGGAAAAATGGAGAGTGCATGAAGTGGCCCTTAATTGCTACTTTGAGAGTCAGTCAGTTGGTTTGTTATCAGTGGATTTCATTGAGTCCTTCATGACCGAAAATATGCTGATACAGTGCGAAAAGAATGACTCTCTGAAGTCATGCATGTGGTTTTTGGAGCACATTTCCAAACATGTCAGCGGTAACGATTACCTTGCACGGGTACGTTCAGTGACCGTTTTCAAGTGTAACCTGTCAGGGTTCGGTGTTGTCCTTGCTTCCAGTTTGGCTGGGATGAAACATCTGCATTCCCTTCGATTGTATTCGTGCACACTGTCAGGTAGCTTCCTGGAGCAAGTTTTGTCATCAGTTGGAAGGGCGGGTAATTTGACCAAACTGGGCATTTGGCATAGCGTGGGCGTATCTGATGATGTAGAAAAGTGGTCTGCTAGTTTGAAAACCGTGACCCACCTGAAATCGCTCACTTTGTGTTCTTGTCACATAGAGGCACAAGATTTCACACACATTGGAAGATCACTGGTTGAGATGACAGATTTGGCCCATCTCGACCTTCCAAACAATGAGAAATTAGGAGGCATTACAGACGTTTGGGCCTTTCGGCTGCACTCTTTGAGAAACCTTGAGGAACTCAATTTAAGTCGTTGTAATATAGACGCCCAGGACTTGCCAAATGTTGCCAAATCGGTTGGAGAGCTGGCCAACCTAACTGATCTGAACCTTTCATGTAACATGGGCTTGGGTGGTCACGCGGACACATGGGCGGCTAGCTTGAAGAGCATGACTAATCTAAAGAAGCTGGTAATGAGTTATTGTGGCATCGAGTGTGGAGATGTGAAATATTTAGCTGAAGCCATTGGTCAGATGGAAGACCTGATGCAGTGTCGCTTCTGCGGTAACGAGGTAGATGTAGTTGTTGAGTCGTCGGTCACCTGTATACGAGTGAAAAATAAAATGTGTTCACTTAGTAGCAAGGACATGGCAGAAACGTTGGTGTCACTTCGCAGTCGGAAAGATTTAGTCTCGCTGGTGCTTCATGGCATTACTGGTCTGAGTGGTTGCGCGGTTTTGTGGACCCCACCCTTACGAGAACTCACGCACCTTGAGGTGTTGGTTCTCAACGACTGCTCACTGCAAACCACAGACATTCAACACCTTGGTGTAGCTTTAAGTCAAATGCGAAGTTTGCAGGAGCTCCGACTGGATTGTGGAATGGAAAGTCTCGATTTCAAACATTTAGCAGAAGCAGTAGGTCGCGCGCAGAATCTGATACGTTGTGATTTCAGTGGGAGCAAAGCAAAGCTTCGTGTAATGTCGCAGGACGGCAGCATACAACTGAACATCCAGGAGTGTTCATTAACGGGCGAGGACATGGCAGACGTTTTGCAGTCATTAAGCAGTCGGGAAGATTTAGTTGGTTTGACCTTCGAGGGTATTCCTGGTCTCTGTGATTCTGGGGCTTTATGGACTCCTCTCTTACCAAAACTGACGCGCCTCAAAAAGCTAGAACTGCACGTCTGCTCATTGCAAAGTACGGATGTTAAACACCTTGCTGCAGCACTGAGTCAAATGCCAGCCTTGAAGTACCTCTGCCTGAAAGGAAATTGGTCTTTGGGGGGTGCTGCAAAAATATGGGCACCCAGCCTGAAGGAGATGATACATATTGTCCGCCTAAATGTGAGTCGTTGTGGACTGCAACTCGACGATGTTGAACATGTTGCTGCAGCACTTGGTCAGATGCCAAATATAAAAGAGCTCGTGTGGAAGAAAATCAGAGTTCGAGTGCCTGTGCAAAAACGTGGGCCCCTAGTCTGAGGGAAATTATGCAACGGTTAACGTTAATTTTGGTTGATGTGGATTTCGGTTCCAGGACGTGAAGCACCTTGCTTTAAGTACGCGTGCTGGGTCAAAATGCCAAATTCACACTGTTCATCTTCAGGAAAGAAAGTTGGAGCATTTGTATGTGGAAATAGTGTCTCGGGGGTAGCATACCGCTATACGCGAATAAGCCTATAGATCCTGATGAGCGGGACCAAGAGAAGGCTCAATGATCCTAGCCAAAGGCTCCTTTGGTGGGAATGCAATTTGCTGGTTCACAAACGAACATGAACTGTATGCGTTACGTGTGCGCCGCTACCAACTCCCCGCCAGACTCTTTTCAACCGATGGGAGGGTGCTTCTGCTCGAGGTGGGTAGGTGCAGCGCACGTGACCAAATTTCATCTCAATCAACAATCTTCGAAAGCTTCTGTTTACATGAGTGACACTCACTCCAGGACAACCACAGTGTATTTCGACCGTTTCAGTAATTCTGGACTCCTTGTAGGTGAACACTGTAATATTAAGCTGCTTAGAATTTTTGCCCTGCCCGACGTGTATTTTAACACTGTATACTCAGAGTCTGAAAGTGTGTCAGAAGGAGGTATCATAAATAATGGACGATTAGAACTATTATTAAATATCTGTCCCCAGTTTTTCAGGACTTTTAACTAATATCGCTTGCCGACAGTATTACACCACATTATTACACTTACCCTATGCGATTGCGGCCCAAAGTACCGACTTTTTATTGTGTAGATGTTGGTGTTATGGAGATGCCTTACTGTCAGTGGTATGTATGGCACGATATGATTCTTTGATGTAAATGAGACATTGACAGTGCATCCATATGGTAATAGTGCTTAAAAAAAAAAAAAAGGACGGTGACGCTACAACTGAATACATGCACTTTTCATTTTTGCGTGTTTTACTTTTCATATTCCTTGAATTTTGTTCTTGTCGGGTACTCACAATCATCACAGGGATTCGTTTACAAAGAAATAGACAATTTGAGGACTTGGGCCGTAACTAGATGTTTATAGTTCATAGTTATTATTGAATTTGTAATTTTCGCATTGATTCCTCGTCGACATCTCAAGTTATGGCTACCAAAATATAATCATTTATGTGCAAATACAATGTACATGTACTTCAATATATAATATCTTGATATGGCTTGCGTTTTTATACTTTATTGGCTTTATATTATAACTGTAAAAATTATACTCAGTATGACCAATTTTTAAAGTTTTGTACGTGTATACGACATATGCTTTCTGTGCACAAAAACAGAAAATATATTTTTGCTTGGCCTATGTGCAACTCTTTTACAGCTAGCTGGAATCAATTATGTATACTTCAGGAATGTATTTTTCTATGTTGTCTCTTTGCGATTTTCCAGATTTTTCCCCCTCCGTACAACGAAATCTGACTTTCTGATTTTTTTTCTCCGCGTCCAATTCAACCAAGTTGAATATCATGATCAGTCTTGTTGATGTACAGGTATTATGTAAAGATCAGTTATTTCTGTCTTCAATCGTGGAGAAACTAAGCAATGTATTTTTCTAAAGACACGGATGACGGGTTAATAAAATTTATTTATGCACTTAAAATGCTCGGATGTGCTTTGATATTTCTGTTTGGTTGCAGTGTGTTCTGTTTGCTTCTAATTGCGAAGACAGGACATTCATGCAGAGAAAGTGACACGTGGCTTAAATTAATTCCCTTTAAAAAAATCGGCTTCCATCTGTTTGTTGATTCTTCAAACTACAGCTAGTAGGCCTATATGTACATTAGGTGGATGTCCGGGGGTGGAGTCAACCCTCCTGTTTTGAAAAGAAGAATGAAATACCAATTATAGTCATAATAAAAAGATAACATCCAGTAGATAAGGGTTATTATTTTGTACATTTGTGTAACAATGTAACTATAACGTTTTCTTATTGTGTTGCCACCAGTTTGCAACAATTGGACGTGATTAAAAACTCCGTCGAGGCGCCTGATCGACCCCCCCTGTCTGAAAAAAGAAAAATCTTTGGGTCGCGCTCTTGTCACATTTTGCCAAATTTGAAGATGATAAACCACCTATTGTTACTTGCTGTCGATGTCAAAGGCGAATTTTCAAATTAACTTTGATCCCGCAAAACCTGTGCGCAGAAACATGAACTTGGAAAGATCGAGCCTGTGCATGCGCCGTTGGTAAGTGATTTGCTGGACAACTTAGTGTCAAAGAGCCTGAAATGCATTCCACGAACGGTGGTCAGGAGCGGATCTAGAACCAATCTTATTTTTCAGAGTGGGAATGGAATTTTTTAATGTAGGCCTAACTTAATTAGGCCTACATGGCCTCTCTCATTGGCGAGGCTACATGGGGGGATACACGTTTAAGTTAGAGGAATATAAACAAACCGTTATCTTTGATAAAAAGGGAGGTTATTGGGGCATGGTCCCTCAATGGGTTAGGATAGCTGTGCGCCCGACGACCCCGATCAAGGGTAATCCAACATTTCTCTGTCTTTAGAATATTCGGGTGATCCGTGGACGGGTGCATGTGCAAAGAGAGGCTAAGCGGCAATATTTACGTCCAGCTTGTACCGGTACCTCATCTTGTTTAATTTAAAAGAAAAATTACAAAATAGAGTGTTCCAACCGGTATTCTGCAAAATAGAGTTAGACATCAGTTTAGAATGGCAATGGGGTTGAACATGTACGACAATCATCCCATAGCTGTATCATATTGACATTAGCTAGGGCCTACCTAAAAAAAAAAACCAAAGCCTCGATTATAGAACTACGGTATTATGTGTGAAGCTTGGATACGGGCGAGGAAAAATAATTTGCTCTGGGGAAAAATATCTTTAAAATGCATCAGCTAAGCCACTGCAAATTGAAAAGAAAATCAAAGATGACAAAGTGAGCTTTCATTTGATTTGTGTCTTAAACACTCGAGAAACTTGCATTTTCCCCGATTTTTTGAAGTGGGGATATCATGTCACTGTTGCCTGCAGCTAGCTTAATTGAAATAGCGCCGCCAACGGCAGTCGCCGTATAAAAACGAGGTTGATGGAACCGATCATCTGCAGCAACCGCAGGCCAAAGGACACTGGGAACGAGAGTAGCGGCCTCTTTGGCCATCGAGTTCTCACGACCGAAGTGAAGGTAATGACGAGGCTGGAAATCCCTCAAAATCTCTTTCTGTGCTCTGCATCATGCGATATTATCAAGATAGCTGATATAGTTGACGATATCTTGCTATTATAATTGCTTTTTAGGAATGATAAAATGGAAGACACTTATTTTGAAACATGTTTCCAGATGATGTTCAACGTAAATGAAATAAGTACTCACATGTATCATGCATAGTCTGTACATGTACAGTACGTTCAATACTTACGCATTATGCCACTGTATCAGTGCTGCTGCAAAGTGCCTAAAACGGCAGGACCAGTGGTTGGATCATGAAAAGAATTTCATATACTAACGCCAGTAATGGTGGGGTTGATTACCATTACCAACCTGTTCCTGTATAATAAGGAAACAAAGTCCATGACAAATGATAGTGCATGGATGGACATGATCATTATGGAAGGGCATTAGGGGGGACTAGTGTTGTTCCCAAATAAAGGGAATTCTTCAAATTCAGGGACAGTCCCCGAGTTGTGATCTGCACCTCTACTGATTTTGACCTTAACCCTAACCTTCCCTAACCATGCTAACCACACAGAGTTGAACACCAGTTAAGTGTATGAATTTGTGGCACTGTACTGTACCCCTTAACTGCTTGTGCTTTAACATGGGTTCAGGCATACCCAAAAGAAACAGAGTCCAACAGTTTTTGTGCACAGTTTAACACATGCTGTTGGAATTTGTGTGAATGGGTATGGTTCCAAGTAAATCACTCTGGGGAGTTAGGGTTAAGGAACCATTACTCAATCCTGATAGGCCTAGTGTTTTTTACAATATTTAAGCTAGAAAACTTCAAATTTCTAACCCGAGTTAGGCAGAAGATAACCACTGTGTCGAATCATGCCATTTTGTTTTTTCGTCTGGTTATTTATCTTGGGCATATGGGATTCATCAAAACAAATCGCCATCCCGGTCAAGGAACCAGACTACATTCGCTTATTTTGTGATCACAGCTCTCTTTGGAGATGTCATGTACGGTGCCATTATACCCCAAAATTTCCCTCAAAAACCAAAAGCACTGTTCTCTATTCTCTCTAACATGTCTAGTATGAAAGAGGACATCACCAACAACTTGTTTGGATAAGTTGTTTCGAAAAAGTAGAATTTTTCCCTTATAATAGGAACAGGGTGCTAAAGATAATGAACCCTGTATTAGTTTCCTGCAGTGGCCTTTCGTCTTTCTGAAAGCATAAATTAAAAATGCCCTAGCCCTAACCTACCTAAGCCAAAGTTGCATTGACTGTCGTCATGTTTGTACTTGTGAGTGATGAAATTATTTGTGTTGTCAGGCTCCCTAAATCTGTGCAGTCTTATTTCTATGCCCTCACCTTTCACAACACCGCCAGCGGTCCCTTGTATTGTTTGTTGTTATTATTATTATTAAAAGGCTTGCAAAAGACCCCAAAATGTTGGAAATAATCCAGTAATCGTATCTTATTTTATGTGTAAACATGGTAAACAGTGATCCCTTTTCTATGAATTTTCCCAGGCAGAAATAGGAATTTGTGTCAGGAGTCCCCCCCCAAAGATTCAGAATTTATTGTGTCATGTAACAGATCGCCCTCTTGTCTAGGAATGTACCTTAACGTGTCATGTGATGTCATTACTTTGTTGTCTCAGTCTGGGATGTAAATAGGACGCTTCGCTAGTATTTGAATTTTGACTGGGTTGTCCGTGTTCATGAATAAAGGTAATCTGGTTTGATGGGATATGCGCCAACCTGATTAACGCGGTAAGGGCAAAGGCATAATCCAAAGGGATGTTGATGGGGATCGGGGTTTTCACTAACTTGTGATGGTGGTTGCAGGGCATACAAATAACAAAGAACGTTTGATGATCTAGAAAAAGTTTCGTACACCAGCATCAATTGACATCATCTCATGAGCCAGTTCAGTATTCCAACGGGGCATGCCCATTACGAGGCTATTCGGGAATAGCAACACGCATGCGCAATAGTCTGTCCTATCATCGCAGCCATTCGCTGACTCAAGCACGCATTGTTTCCGAAAGACCTTGGCTTTTTGAAACACCGATGTCACACAAGACAAAACACTGAGCCAAAGAACAGTCATAGTGGGGAGAGCTTGAAAGGTGCGTGAGGTTGGAATCAGTGGATGTTTTGACAAGGCATAATTTGTGTAAAAGATCAGCAATGGCCGACAAAATGCCAGAATGCCTGAGTTGTATGGTTTTTGGCTGGACTAGATCGACGTAATAACAGACATGGTCCGAAAGTTTAAAACCTAAACCATGCTGACAAGCACTGATGTGATGTGCATGTCTCGCCTACTTTGTGCTAAACGTGGCTGGTGACGGTCTTGGGCAATGTACCATTTAATTATGCAGGTCTGAATAAATTGGAAGATCGTTCCTCTTTCTCTGTACCTTTTACTGTATGAAATGCCACAAAGTTAAAAAACCTGGCTCCTTTTCCCACCAAAAGTAACACTTTCTTGCCTTAATTTGAACAGACGTTTGTACTTCATGCAAATTTTCTAAACACGTCTGTCCTCCATTTTATTATTTTTGTGTCAAAATTCAGTTGTCTTCACTGAGCAAAGATGGCGCCCTCTGTCAGACCTCTGGTTAAGCGCAAAATTGTCAAGAAGCGACTGAAGAAGTTCAAGCGTCACCAGTCGGACCGATATCACAGAGTCAAGGTAAGAGAAGGCCACTTGTGTGAACTCGCTCCATTTTCAAGCACCAAGCAGGTGACATGCTCCCCAAAGTTTCAGTCATTTCTGTACTTAACAACACAAAGTCAAAATAGAATGACGAAAAAGGGCAACAGGTAGAGAAGAAGGAGAACACTTTATAACGAGAAATGATTTTTTTCCTGACGTTAAAAGTTGCCTCCATTGGATCAGTATTACTGCAAATGATGATTTCACACGACGGTCTTCAGACACCTGACATGGTGAAAATGCCTGATGGCATGCACTGATGCAGTAGAATTGATGCAGAGGTGGCAACTAATTTTCAATGTTTTCTCTCTGTGTATGTTTGAAGAAATCCGCAGACATTTTTCCCTTTCAATACAAATATTACCTGCCATAATATGTGGGTCACAAAACTTTATGGAAAATTCATCTATGCTTGGCAAACAGCTTTTTCTTTTGTTGTTATTTTTAAAAGTATATTCAAACATTTTATTTTCCACCTGGGTCATATGGGTCTGTGAATAACTTGTCAAGGACAACAGATGACATAATCATGTCAGGGTTAAGATTTGTCAGGATTTTTCATCTGGATCTCCTGATTTTGAGATTTGTTTAAAATTGCTTCTAAACGCTGAAAAATCCTGAGCTTACCATAAATCCCAAACCCCAAGCCCAGTCTGGATCAGGGAGGATAGTCATATGCACAATTTTGTTTAATCTCCTTAGACCAACTGGAGGCGGCCCAAGGGTATCGACAACAGAGTGCGTCGGCGCTTCAAGGGCCAGATGAAGATGCCCAACATCGGTTACGGGAGCAACAAGAAGACGAAACACACTCTGCCCAACGGCTTCCGCAAATTCCTTGTCCACAATGTTAAGGTAAGCCACCAGTCTGTTTTCTAGGCATTGGAGGGCTTGTTACTTTGGAACCATGACTCCAGATCAAAGGGTCCGAGGTTCGAATCTGGTTGCTTCATCCCTGCTTGCCTCACTCCGTCAAGGAGTGCGAGTGCCAGCATTACAGGCATACCAGCCCCCTTTTAATTGCTAAAATACTGGTTTTCAAATATTTTGGGGATGAGACCTCCAGTCTTCAGTATTTGTGGGCCAGAACAACAATATTTTTAACACAGCAAGTTTAATACCACACCTAAAACCTCCCAAACCTGCAGTGCTTCCCAATCTCCAGTGTGCTGCAATATGTTTGAAATGATGATTTGATTTAGACATGTAGTATTACATGTAGTCTGAGCCACTGTACAAGCAGTGTCCATTTGTTGAAATCCAGTCTGTAAGGAGCTGGCTCTGTTGGTTCCCACGTAACTCGTGTTAATTTTTAGGAAACCAAAGTAGGGAACTAGTTATGCTCGTGCGTTAGAATGTCGTGCAGGTGTGTACGTGCATCATGCACACAACGCGACGGAATAACAGCACCTGGGCATTGTTTTACTTGTCGCAGTTGGATGCTGCGTTATGTTTGACTTCGCTTGAGATGGAGGCTGAAAGTGCTGAAAATGTAGAATTGATGAAAAAGTGAAAACAAGTTCAACTAGCGCTGGCAAGAATTGGAAAACAGCAGAGGATGTTTTGTTTTAGACTAGTGTTTACGTACATGTACACTTTCCAGAAGATGGTACAAAGCACAGTGCATCGTGTGCCACCAGATTTTCCTTTGGCCGGTAAGCCATCATTAGCCACATAAGAAAACCAACACTAGTAATCACACTTTTGCAAGCAAAATAAAATCCAGAATCTTTCAAAAGTACAGTTTAGCTCTTCAGAGAAGGGGGCAGGATACTCAGGGGTCTTGCGTGTAGTTTGTTTTAATCAGATCCTGTGCACGTTTATATTTCCAGTACTTTAAGGCCCACTTTGGAACCCACTTAGAACACGGAACTGACTGGCATCCCTGCTTGAGCTTAGGAGAAGCTTGCGATGGACTGGCATCCTATCCACGGGAAACTTTGGAAATAAAAATAGTTCCGTCGTTTCGTGCTTGATGAGCCACAGGATTACCTGCACTGCTTGGAAAACTGAAATCTAGCATCTATGACCATGACGCAACTTCTTTTTCCCCTTTCCTTTTCCCCATTCTGTCGTAACAGGTTATATATATTTGATCTGATGTTGCGGAATCGCATTCATATTTGCTCGGTCACCAGCTTGAATAACAGAAATGTCTAGTGTTTAATTGCAATTAATAAGAGTGCCTTTTTTTTCTTTTTTCTTGTGATAGGAGCTGGAGATTCTCATGATGACAAACCGACGCTATGCCGCGGAGATTGCCCACGGCGTCTCTTCCCGCAAGCGCAAGAGCATTGTGGAGCGTGCCCAGCAACTGGCTGTCAAGGTGACCAATGCCCACGCCCGCCTCCGCAGCGAGGAAAACGAGTAGACTGGGACTAGGGATTTAGAGAGATTCTTTCATGGACCTTAAAAAGAAAAAAAATAATTGATACGCACTCCAGAACCCAACATGGTTACTTGTTCTTTGTTGCCGCACTAGCCAAGTTTTGCTTATAACTCTCCATTGTGGCTGACCATCTAGTGACCCTCTGCATAGTGGCCATCTACTCTCTTTTATGCACCCGCGGTTTAACAGTGGAGTCAAGTGAAAAGAAATAAATTTTACAGGACTAAGACCCAAGACGTGTTCTGTTTTTGCTTTCTTTTTTCTGTTCAGTCTCTGGTGAAATACTGAATCATATTGATGGTAATACTCGTAACCGAAAACTTTGACTTTCAAAAACGGCAAGGCATGGCCGCCAACTTTTGGTATACAGCCAAACGCCACAAATACCGATTTGCTGGAGTCACTTCAACACCTGTGCAGCATTTCCTAAGAGTAATAACCTCGTATTTTTCAACATTCCTTGGTCAGTGCTGTGATACTGGCCACCACAAAAGGCCATGCACAACGGCCAAGATCAACATGCAGTCTGCCTCCAGGGACTTAGCGCGATTGGAAAGCAAATGAGGATAAGCATGTCCTGAATGTCAAGTGGAGAAGAGTTGAATCACTTGTATAGTAATAAATCGTCATGTCAGTGCTAAAAGGTCCTCACTGAAAAATGCATTAAAAGGGCCTTTAAGTCATTGAAAAATATTTCAAGCAAGACAGTTTGTTGAGTTTAAATAAATTGGCCCCAGAAAAAGTTTTATAAATAAAAAAAGAAACAAATACAGACTGTTTCAATACATTTCTTTCGTGCTCAAGAGTAAGTCCTAAGAGTATTTTTATGGTATATTTTTGCTGTAATGATCTTTAAGCACTGACCTGACTACATTTAATGTCAGCCATACGAGGACATGGCATTTGATTTTAAACCTCGGCCCTGCTTGGATGTGCAGATAAGCCCCACTTTTTCTGCACCTCACAGCCAGTCGTTGAAAGTAAAACGCAAGCAACAAATATTAGGTAATATTAATTTTTATTGTCACAATACCAGGGAAAGAACAGAACACTTTAAGCTTCTCCCCCCCCAAAAAAAAACCCACTTGAAACATCTTCACCTCACAGATTGTGTCACTATTTCGGGCAAACTGATGAGTTATCCGTAAAGTGCCACACTTTGATGATTTGTGTGTTTTTTAATAGTGTTCAGTCATGGAGGAAGGACACAGAAGGAGTTACAACTGGCACATCAAAAAGCTTGATGATCAGACGAACAACAGTAAACTTTCCCAAAATGCCTGATTACTGCCTGCAGCTTTGCCGGACAAGTGGGGCCAGTAATATCTGAGCAATATTTGTGGTGTTTTCTTTGCAATTAACCACAACTTGTCGCAGTGACCAGGAAACAGGAAAAATATCAAACAGTAGATTTACTTTTGCCACTTTGAATACTTTTAACAGATATTGATGCCCTTTTCCATTATCTATGCATATGTTGGTAATTTTATTTTGTCACTCAAAAACATCAGTTTTCAAAGTCTTTGTACGAGTTTGGCTAAGACTGCCCAACATGTTGAAAAACAAAACACGACAGTTAAGTTCACGAAAAACAAAATGTGCGGTTTCATCACCGGGAGTGATTAGGAAATCTCATAAATACCTTTTTATGTAAATTCTGTAATAAAATGATTCAAATAAAACTCAAAATCTAACAAACAACTTAGCTATTTATTCCCAAAAGAAGCCCAGAAGAAAGCATTCAATAAGGGCAACATCTGCACATGAACACTTTGGGTACACAGCCTAATAAAAGCAACTGCGCAAGCACTAACTTTGATGTCAGATCATATCAAACACCAACGATGGCATGAATATTCAACTTCTATACTGCAGTACATGTTTCAAGGATGCAGATTTCCAACGATAAATTGTGGCGATGATCACAGGGTACAAAGGGGGCTTATGGTTGCAAAACAGGTGGTGCACAGCAAGCATGTGCTGCGCTCTGGCTATGGACATACCAGGCATGCCAGAAAGCGGTAATTGGCCAGATGTTACAGCCGGGGCAGTTCAAACTCCTGCGTGTCCTTCCTCCATGGTTCAGTGGACCAAAGGCCCCTGCTGTCTCCATCCAAAAGTGCACATGTAAACAAAGTGTGGTGCGGGGTGAGGTGACTTTTTCAAGAGAACAGGGGAAGTACAAACAGTAATGTCATTTTTGTGGTCTGTAAACCAGGCCTTATATGAAGGTTGCTGATGCTCTAAATGTGTGGGGAATTACATAATGTAACTTAATTCAGACTTCCGGAAACAAAACTACCTTAAATACCTATTCATGGTCCTGTGATGCCCAATGAGGAAAGACAGATGAGCTGATGATGAAACTCCCAAATACCCCAAGAAACTGTCCAAAGGGCGCTTGATACCAACATAACATTTTGCAGGATTTCTTACTCGAGAGATATTGTTGACTTTGAGGATGTAAATACATGTATAAACATGCTGTAGAGCATGCACATCTAGTAAGGCCCATTTTCAGAATTGCAAAAAAAGATACAGATGGCATAATGAGGGAATTATGATTGGGAAACCACCGATGGGACAACTCGTTAAACTATTTGGACCTTATTGGACTGATGAAGCACAATGTGTTAACTGACGGCACGCAGAAAGAGTGCAGCAGTGCATCTACTTTGGAACAGGTTCTTTAGTCTTCAGAAGTTTTATTGGCGGCTGACATCAATTAGTTGTACACTAACTCTTCAAGTACGGAGTTCTAATGGGATTTGTTTTGCAAATTAGACAATACACAGACCCCGTCTTCCCGAATTGGCATTAGGGCCCAACATCATGGCACAACTCCACAATTACTGATGAGCAGAAACTTCGGGAAAAAAGCAGACACAAGCAACTCTAAATATCCTCAAAGATGCTCATAGATTTGGTCACCAATCTGAACAGAGTTGTGCCGACTTTCAGCTTGGTATACTGACTGAGCATTTCAAACTGTGTCACTGAGCCAGGAAGTTGACAAGAATCCTGACCCAGTTTCATCAAACCCCCCGGCGGAAATTATTGCCTAGAAAATTCAGACGAACGTTGACCAGTCGACAGTGTTATTAGCAAAGAATGACATTTTAATGGGTGCCCCAATTTGAGCTGAGCAACTTTCTGTTTCCATGCTTAGCAGGATTGTAATTTGGTTCCATGAAACTGGGTCCCTTTGCTTGAATGGTTTCTGCTAAGCGTAGTAATTGAGGTTAGCTTTCTTCTTGGCTTGCACCTCTAAGATGCCGTCCATGTAGTCTTCATGAGCCAGCTCGGTGGCCCCTCGTCTGAGAGCTATCATCCCCTGCAAAATGAACAAAGGAAAAATCTCGACGTTTTACCCAAAACAGATCTTGCCTTCTCTCTTGGCCAGTTAACTGACCGAGGGGGAACGCTGTGAGTCGTCTCCTTGGGATCTATAGTCTACAGGTTTTTTTGGTAATTTTGGCCAGTGTATCTGTAGGCGATGCTAGTGCAATGATACTGTGAGTTGATTCTCTTGACCTAGTTTGGACACCCCTTAAGGGGTGGGCACAGTCCTTGACGATTTGTAATGCAGTTTTTTTCTGGCTTTGTCCTTCAAACATGTCAAACGGCTCTGATACTGTGGGTCTTGTGGCAGTTTTGTTATACTTACAGCTTCAACGCAGACTGCCTTGCACTGGGCTCCGTTGAAGTCATCTGTACATCGAGCCAACTCCTCAAAGTTAACATCAGTCCTGAAAAAACGAAACCACACTGAAATTCGGCTCATTTCACTCCAAATACACCAAGACAGACGAAACAAAGTACAGAAATTGTGGATGTGAATCTTTTGTGACATGTGCCACAATCTGTTGAGCAAACAACTGACTAAAGGGGCCAGTTAATACTTGGCACGAAAGCGAGCAAAGATGCAAAATCCTGTTTTCCAATGGAAGACCTTTGAAAATGCTTGGTGGTGGAAAACATACCACACCCTTGCGACTACTCCGCTGCTGTTTGCCTTGCACTGAGAGGTCACAAATGACCTCAAATGTAATGCAAACAACGGTGGACAGTTCACTTGGAGACAGCTAGTTGTTGCTGCCACTGAGTCTCAAAAAAGGCCCCTGGCAGATGCGGAGGACTCACCCAACGTTCATCTTCCGTGAGTGAATTTGTAGGATGCGCGCCCGGGCCTCCTCGTTGGGGTTGGGGAACTCAATCTTCCTATCCAAACGACCTGAGCGAAGCAAGGCCGGATCTAAGATATCAACTCTGTTGGTGGCGGCTATCACCTGTAAAAAAAAATAATAATCATGTAAAACAGAAAGCGGCCATGAAACTCAAATCTTTGGTTTTCGTTTCATCGAAACAAGGATATCGCACAAGGCATAATCGAAGTTGCGAAAAATGCCCAAGTAAAGCATGTTTCTGGTTAGGGTTGCAAGAATGCCCCTCAGTTAAATAATCCACAACCCCCCGATCCCTGACCTTGATCTCCTCGCTGGAGCTGAAGCCATCCAGCTGGTTCAACAGCTCCAGCATGGTGCGCTGCACCTCCCGGTCACCGGCCTTCTCGCTGTCAAAGCGCTTGGTGCCGATGGCATCCAGCTCGTCAATGAAGATGATAGCGGGCAGTTTCTCTTTGGCCAGGGCGAAAGCGTCGCGCACCAACTTGGCACCATCCCCAATGAACATCTGCACTAGCTGGGGGCCGGCCAGCTTCAGGAATGTCGACTGAGAGATAGAAAATCGAATTATAAGAAATAAATTATTTTTCTTCTAACTGCGAATCCTACCGTGGGTGCCACCGATAAAAACTTAGAGGTGCAAAGGCAAAGCCAATTTGACGTAAAACTTGTACTAATTTGCAACACAAATATTTGATTCTGTCATCATAAAGTTAATGCTTTAGAACAAGGTCTGTGCTGGAAAACGTAGACACAAGATCTCATGATCTATATGCCCAGGCATTACACCAGTGAGTATTCTCTGAGTCTTGGGTAGCAAACATGTATTCAGCTCATTTGTGTATCTTCAGGTTGACATGTTTGGCAGATGACAATATTCTTTCAATAGGTGGCTGGACTTTTACCTTAGTTTGAGCAGCACAGGCTCGGGCCATAAGCGTCTTCCCGGTGCCTGGCGGCCCATACAGGAGCACTCCTTTGGGAGGCTGGATACCAATATTTTCAAACCGTTCTTTGTGAGTCATGGGCAGGACGACTGCTTCAATCAGCTGAGGAACATAAACAAATGTGATAGGGATGATGCAATAGGGTGAAGAATGATCTCCCTTGAAATTAAGAGCAAACTAACGCCGTTATAGGCTAGGCCTCTTGAGACCAATACAAGACCTCACAAGACCTTCCCAAGATGAACACAAGACCCTACATGACCATCACGAAACCGACACAAGACCCAACAAAACCACCAAAAGACCAACACTACACCAACACATGACCATCACAAGACTATCACAAGACTATCACAAGGCCATCACAAGACTTCCATAAGACCATCACAAAACCCCGCAACACCATCACAAGACCAGCACAAGACCAACATAAGACCTAATCAGCCGTTTTCAAAACCAACACGATAACTCCGGCCTAAATTAAACCCACAAGCCATTCAACTGAACTGCAACAAAAGTACTCCTGTGTCATTGTTTACCCCACTACTTATGATTGGTCTTGTGTCTGGTTTACGATAGTCTCAACTGCAGCACTGGAAATTATATGAGTGCATGGGTCAGCAAAATATGGATGTGCTCAATGTTGACTAAGGTTATTCTGTGGCAATGACCTATATTTTTGGTACATGAGCCAACTCCGCCCACCCTTACACATCATCTCTCTCTATAAGGAAACTCCACAGTGTGTGTTCCCTCTGGCCATACCTCTTGAATCTGTTTGTCCAGCCCTCCGATATCACTGTACTGCTCTGTCGGTCTCTCGTCAACTTCCATGGCTTTCACCCTGGAATCAAACCTGACGAGATTGGATGGGAAAAAGAGATAATAAGGCGAGCAGCCAAACTGGACAATTTTCACAAGTGGCCACTGGTTGTCTTGGAAACTGCCTTGTTTTGAAAAAGTTTAACACAGTTCTCCATCGAAATCAAAATGCTATGATTTTCTAAGACTTTGTTTGACTAAACGGTAACAATGTATATACCAATTAACATCATTTTGTTGTTGAAATGTTGTTTGGTATTATGACATGGAAGCCACCGCTATGCTTTGAAGTGCACCCTCAAGTGGCAAAAGAAAGACAGATGGTTACAAGTTTCTCAAGCGGGTTCATGTACACGTTCTGCATGTACACAAAGACCATACATTAAGGAATAAATCTGTTACTAGTACTCAGCGTGTTCAGCGTCAAACATGCCATTGATTGTCATTATAAACGTGCACTTGTGCGGTGAGTACCAAACAAACATGCCCTTTTTTGTGGCACTTGGAATGGACAGGCTTACAAGAATTATAGCCTGTCATTCCGTTATCACATTGAAAGCTGCCCATCAAAAATAACCCTGGCACAACACGGTATTAAGTCCAAACAAGCCCCACTCTTGTGGTGGGGGTCAAGAGTTTGAACCTCACTCTAGTCGATTTCTGCACTGGACCCCACGAGAAATACACAAAAATAACACAATGTAATGCACACGTTACCTTCATGGCAGCTGTTGCTGGTTCAAACCCCACTCGGGTCACTGTATCTGCTCAATCACATACAGAGCAAAGACATGACCAAAGATACTAATAAAAAATGCAAAATTGCTACTCACTCTTGTGGTAACGTTTCCAGTATGAGGTAGGAATCCTTGTTGACGCCCACCAGGTCCCCGGGGTGTAGTTTCTCCGGGTCTACCAAGCCTATCACCGGAAGGAAGTAGGTCTGCAGAACGAGAGAAAGCGAGTAAAAGTACTCTACCATTATCAAAAAGCACCTGGTACAACACCTGTGGCATCTTAGTTTGATTCTCTCACAAGTTTGGGGAGAACAGTTTGCTGGTCGAATGAACTGTGACAGAGAACAAATTAACAAAGCAGGAGACAAACAGTACCAGAGTCGCGGGCTCAGTTGAATCGCCCCCACCGTTGATTGACGACCAGGATGATATTATGTCGCCTGACAAGATTGCTCACCTTGGCCACCAGATTAGAGATTTACGGATACGTGTATATGGATGGGTGTTGATCGAATGGGTCAGGGACGGGGGGCATGGCCTCTTTTTATTACTTGTGGGTAAGGTGTAATGTCAAAATCCCATTTCTGTGAGCAGACCTTACACGTCATTCCTTCGACAGGCTCTATGACCATTCGTTATGGGCCTCACCTGTCGGGTGGATGTCTTGATGACGGCGCATTTGCCCTTGCGCTGCGAGTCTAGATCAACGTTGGCTCCCTCCGCTTCGCCAGAGTCTTCTGGCTCAACGTCAAGTAACTGCAGACATAAACAGGCAACGCAAGTACCAAGTGATAAAGGAATAAAAGTGTGATTGAGTGGTTTCACACTAGAAAATCTAAAACTGGCTAGGGACCCATGGATGATGATGAACTGAGCTCAAGGAGAGGCCAATTATAGTAAGCAAGCTAATGTCCACAGCGTTTTGTGAAACAGCCCTATGGCCACATCTGTGGAGTGTGGCTCATGTGCATACATGTAGCACTAAAATCGCTGTACGTGGCAATGAATACACAAGGTGTGTGCCTCAGAATGTGAGGCAGTACCTTGATGAGCTGGCGTGATGTGAAATCTCCACTCAATGAAAGGCAGACTCATTGGTTGTACTACGTGTTGTTTCTGCATGATGATGACTGTAATAAATAGGAGTTAATGTACAAAATAGGGGACACCATTCCATATGAAACTGGGACAGTGGTTAGAATAGTACCTCTATCATCCGTTGAAAACGTACTCACCAGACAGGCTCTCAATCAACAGGAATTGATAAAAAGTCTGAGGCACATGCATTTACAAAGTGTGAAAGACAGCCTAAATATATGTGTTACTGTCTATACTGAAAGTTTGCTTCTACTATTAAAAGGTTAAACACAGTCTTCCTATTCAAAAGATTTTCTGATATTGACCCCGAGTGAGACACATCTCCTAGCTGCCTGATGTTGTGCGTACCTCAATCACATTTGACACCAAGTACGGGAGGGTTTTGTTCACTTTGATCTTCTCCTGGTTCTCCTTGATTTTTTCTTTCTGAGCTTGCAGTTCGTGCTGAATCCGCATGATCTCACTCTTCATGATCTGTAAGGCAATTGTAACAGGGCAACTCCGTGAAAATGTCATGCCGGATTTCTAGTTTTTTCCCTACAGAAAATGATCATGTTGGGCATTGTTAGACAAGATTTGAAGCTTTTCACGGTGGAGGTACATGTAGTAAGTAAACTAGATACATGTAGGTTTGCGGTAGCACCGTGCATATATATCTCTTTTGTGAGTATGTGGGGTTCTGAAAAGAACTGCTGGTACTCAACGTTTTGGACAGTATGCTCTGTCCGCCATCAGGAGTCTGTTGGATACACCTGCCAATAGAGATATATCCATGGTGCTACCGCAAACTTATCAAGTTTACTTGGGCTTTTTGCGAAGGCACAGATGTTGACAAATGACCACCACAAATGGATAGCAAGGCCCTATCTGTATAATATCTTTCATCAATGATTCCTTTCCATGTACCTGTTTCATTTAGTTCATATTCCACATTATGCCCAAATGAGGTGGGTTGCAAAGGTGTCAGTTTGGTACTGTAACAACACACTGCTTTACCCACTCCTTGCCAAGTCCAAATGTCAAAGAAATCTTTGTAACGGAGTGACACTTCCAAAGAAGAAACAGTACATGTACTGCATGGAGTTTAGGTCCTCACAACTACATGTATATGATAGAACAGGCGATATTGTGAAAATCGCTTCCAATATATTGGCCCTTTATCCCTGAAAGTACTCAACATGAAAAGCACAGCATATCTAGGCTGTATCATGAATAGCAGAGATTATACAACACCTGAAAAATCCCTGTACTCTGATTGCTGGGCCGTTGATCATGTGTCAGGAATTATATCTACCTCTACATGTATATAATCAACAGCAGTTTGTTGGATATGTGTACACCCTGTTGAGCGCATTGTTCATATTGTGCGGACTGTAGGCACAGTCACAGATATTGCACACAAACGGCGACCGGCTCACAGAGCTATAAAGCGGATTCATCTTGGTGTTGTTTGGAACAAACTTGTCAGGAGTGTTTTTCATGCATTGGAATGAGGTTTTACATTGTGGAATACATGCACAAAACAAGTTTAGTGTATGTCTCAGCATCTGGAAGCTGTCATGGTGCAAATTCATAACCCACCTTAATTTCATTGTCCAGCAGTCTGGTCCGACCAATGATTTCATCATTTGACATGCGGAGCACCTCTTCCCCGAGTGCTTCCTATGACAAGGAAAAATACATTCCCCAAAATGAGATAAAACAACAAATCAGCCTGCCTCTCCCCTCTCCTCCCAATAACATGATGAATAAGAAACCCTCCAAAGTTCTCACTCTATAATTAAAAACAAACTCCTTGGCATTTTTTCCAAACTCTTTTAAAAATGGCATGAGGAATTAATTCAATGACTGTTTGATAACTGTTCCAATACCACTTACTAGTGGAAAGGAACAACTTTCACAAAACCCGTAGGAAGTAGGCCTAACTAGGCCTACAAGTTTCTCGATTTTTCTCAAAGCAGTGATCTAAAAAAGTAAAGTAAATCACAAACCTGAAAATCGGCCAATTTTGACAAATCACAGTAAATGCAAATCCTATATACACGGGGTTCATTACCTCCTTTAGCACCCTGTTCTTATTATGAAGGAACAAATTCTACTTTTTCGAAATAACTTATCTAAACAAGTTGTTGGTAATGCCCTCTTTCACATCAGAAAGAAAAGAGAACAGGGATTTTGGTTTTTGATGGCAAAATGGCAGCGTACATGACCAACCCGAAGGTACATGTACATGTAGCTGTAAGCAACAAATAAGGGAATGTAATCTGGTTCCTTGACCTGGATGGAGATTTGTTTTGATGAATCCAAAAAGCCTGAGTCAGGTAACCGGACGAAAAACAAAATGGCGTGATTCAACTGAGTGGTTGTCTTTTGCCAAACTCGGGTAAGAAATTTGAAGTTTTCTTGCTTAAATTTTGTCAAAATTTACCTAAAGTAGGCCTATCACTGAGTATCTATCTCTATGGTATCAAGATTGAGTGGTTCCTTAAGGTCAGAATGTTGTTACTAGTTTAAGAAAGTGGACTTTGTTTCCTTATTAAAGGAACAGGGTGCTAATGGAGATGAACCCCATATACACTACCTTTTAGCCTTTTTAAAGCCAAGCACGGATAAGCATGATAAGGTTTAGACCCCAGTGTCCGTCATATCCATGGTGCACTGCCGGTGCAAGGCGAGCTGCATGACTCAGTATATTTTACGTGCCATGCATATAACAATTTCCGCTAATAATTAAAGGTTTTATGACCAAAATTATTAGCTTAGATTAAAAAAGATCCTAACCCACCGTAACAAATAAATTGATACAAATTATTACATCGAAGTGCTTCAGAATTTACCTCTCCGTCCTCCCAAATCGCCTTGTCTTCTAACTTAGCCGAGGCAGCCATCTTGAAATGAGGAAGGAATGAATCAGGTGCACATGAAAGAGTCGTAGACATAGACTCGATTCAAGTCTGAATTTCCACTCGATACTATCAACTTGTACCATGCGTGCACCAAGTACATTATCTGTATACTGTACATACCGCGCGCAGTGTTTGTGTGCTGTGCACTATAGTGCGGCCAGCACTAGGACAGAAAGAAGTCTACTTGTGCAATTAACAGTAATTTATCAGAACATAAAACAGTCAAATCGAGTCCGGGACAGGCGTAGAGATTGATAGAGGGCGCCACATAAGCAAAAATTATGAAAACAAACACGTGCCATAAAATTGCCCAGTTGCCAGCTGAGGACGTCTTGGGGAAGAGTGCTCCGACTCCGAGTATGCCTAACTACATTTACTAGTAGTACTTGGTACATGTAGTCATTAACTTCATTTGTTTTTATGTTTGTCTTTTATTTTCATTTACTTCAGTTTTGTGTGAATCTTCAATTCCTACACTACACTACATGCAGCCTACTTTATACATGTAGGCCTACTTGCAGAACTCCTGCTACTATTCTACCTCCATGGTCCTAGTCAGCTGAACTCAGTACGTACCGCATACAATGTACTATGGCAAAGTATATCTATAGGCTGACCAAGTACATGTACCCATGGTACCATGCCTACTTTCACTACACTACAGAACTGTATTACTGTAAAGTAAAATTATTGGCCACAGATGAAAGCCACACTCGCTGTGATTGGCCCAATTTTGCTTCCACTCCAATGACCAATCATAACTCGGGTTTTATTTGATGGGGCCAGCAGATCATAAGTAAAACCAGGCATGCTAGAGGGGACACCAGGCACATAAACGTGCTGTATATCATGGAGGAAGGACACAAGATGTATATACATGTATTTGTCTCTTAATACACACAAACAACTTGGAACCATGCTGACGCCTACACATATGCATAAAACGTGCATGAGCGTATGAGATGTGGCGCACATTTTTGATATGACAAACAGTCTTTTTACCTCACGCATGTGTGCATGTGGCTGCCACTCTCCATTACCCGGCCTGCATACATGTACCTTTAAAAACAGCATTTCAGAGCCAAGGAAACTTTGTTTTTCTTGCAGATTCTAGACGGAGAAAGAGTACATGTAATGTAATGTATCTTCTGAATATTGCCAAAATGTTTCCCTTTTTTTTGTAAACAAAGTTTTCGGTTGCAGATCCAGAACTCATAAGCGGTGGCGATAATGTTTAATGGGACTACAGTTTAAGATTGCTTATTTTTTAAATACTTTAGTGTCACCTGTTGATCTTGCAAGATACCTGTACAACAAAAACAAAATTTGGCACAACGAACAAGGTTTCAGTGAGTATGAGAGTGGGCGGCTTGGTGAAGTTGAGTGGGTGTTTGGTTTGGCTGAGTGGTATCTGGGTTGAGCTTACAATGTAGAACAGTGTGTGAGCTTTTGCACATGTATATGTTTAGTTGGGTATTTGTGACCCACCATCCCCAAACCAGGCTGAAGTAGGTAATTCCATAACCCTAAAATAGTGGAACTTCTGCTGTTCAGATTTACATGGGGGTTTTATAGCTATCACTACCCGTAAGAAGCTCACTGCAGACAGAATTTGGAGCTGTCAAAGCCTACCAGATTTTTTCTTTGCCACATGTATCAGACACTTGAGGTTTCCACCCCCAATAAGCAAACCACTATTTATGAGCTTCCACCCGCTTCAACACTTTTCTCTATTCCCTTGCCAATCCCCAGATCTTAGAAAACATATTTTATTAGCACTGACACAGCCATTAACCTCTACAGAACTGTTGAAGGCTGTTTCTCGGAACTAGATTTCGACACTTTCAAGGGCCACACATACCCTTGTCATATTTAATCAGGAATGAAACATGTTTTTTTCCCATTGCAAACAGGAATAAAACAGGCTTTAACAGGCGAAAAATAGTGTGAAAGAAAACAGTTTTAAAAGAGGTTCCTGTTTTTAATACCTGTTTTCAGTCATGAGCACTGTTTTCTAGAAAACAGGAAGAAAACATGTTTTATTCCTGTTTTTTGAAAACAGACATTTGCATAAATGAATATTTATAAGATACAAACAAGTAGCACTGACTGATGTATTTGTGTTTTTCACATGCATCGGAATGGACTGTGTTACTATAACATACAGACATGTACAAGTACTGTACGTGTATGTCTGCATGTACAGTATAGGAAATATGTTCTTCAAATCAATTTGTATCTTACACAGTTGTGCTTGTACTTAAGTTTGTCAACTCCCCATAGGCTTTCTGCACAACTAATTTCCAACCGTAAGGGGTCTGTTTTTTTGAGATTTGGAGTAATTGCAGAGAATACCCTGACACTTGAAATTTTAAATTACATGTACATGTACCCTGTAGAATCACTGGCTATGAGGTGGAATTCAGAGAGTATGTTCTCTGTAGAGGTTACACTTGACAAGGTTATGCAGGACCAAGTCCAAATGAACTATGGTACACACTGTAGCTGGCCACTCGCATTATGAATGATGTGTTCCCTTGTACATGTACATGTAGGTAGGCAGTCATCCGTGACTCAGTATCGGGCTATGAGGAGGGAGTGAGTGGCGGGGTATTTTGTTAGCTTTGCCATTTCCATTGCATTTTTTTTTTAGTTTTGCAGCAAAAAGCTGTGCGGTAATTAGACAATTAGCAATGCAGCATCGTTAAAGAGAAACACCAAAAAGGGCACACTGGTATGGCAAATACTGGTACATGTACATTAGTTTTCTGGACTAAGTAGAAGGATTGCAAACTCAAATATCACTCTAAAATTATCCCTGGCATTTGAGTGAATTGTATTGTGGTATTCACTTTGGTATTTGCAAGCTTTGTTATCATTTTCCACAGCAGGTCCATTGTACATGTACAATGAACTATAATTTATAATGTTCCATCCTTAGCCAATTGACTGCATGGCCGAGCAATTATTGAAAGCGCATGGCAGAATACCAGTATTGAAAGCGTGTACTTGAATTTGCGGTCAATCAAAATTGACAATATTAGGCATTTCAGGGACGAAAAAGGGTTCAGTAGAGGGGGGGGAATGGGTTGAAAAAGTAGAGTGAACTTGCATTGCTGTTTATGGCACTCCAAATTACGATGATCTGATATGGAATTCTTTGCTTTACAAGAAACCACGGAATGCTTAGCTTGTTCACAGAAGACGGAATTCCTCCATGATGCGTTCTTAAAAGGAACATCATGGGAATGATTCTGACTTACAGGCCAACTCCTTAATTGGTATTTGTCAGATGCCAGTCTACCTTCCTGTAGTGTACGTTTTCACTACATTTACATAAGTATTGGGATATTCATACACAATATTGAGAAAGTGCCAAATTTTCAGATTACAGTACGTTGAATCCCATCTGCTACATGTACTTATGTACATGTACTTGGATTACTTTGGTTTTAAATTTCATTTTGATGAAAGTAACTAGACTACCAGTCCAGGGGCTCATTTTCATGTACATCTAAGCTCAAGACAGAACAGTCCACGTCCTGTATGTACATGTATGTACTGTAAACACCAGCTTTGCAGCTAGTTGCCAGCCTTTTTATCGAAGGGATGAATTTAAGAATGATGTCCGTTTCACACACCCTCACCCAAGACACGCAGAGTGAGTGAATGGCACCAATGCTGGACATGCAAAGGTGTTGCTGAAGATGTTTTCTTTTTGTGAACTTTTAACTTCTACATGTTTGCCAGTGATTTCTTTATTTAGCAGAATGGCACTGGTGAAAAGAATACTGCACCATATGGTACAAAAAGGGCAGTTCCACGGAAACGTCAACCTCTGGGCCAAAATTTCAAACTGGTCCAAATGTGACAAATTATATATCAGTTTGAAGCTTATGGTGTATACTTTCCTAAAACATACTTCATTTCTAGCAACTTTCAAGAATCTGGCTTTTATGTGATACTGAAAAACTGTTTTAATTACTGAGAAAGTGGGGAAAATATTTCCCCTCTGAAAGATTTTCTGTTTTTTATTCAGATAATAATTTTTTTTCTAGTTTGAAGAGTGCCCCAATAAGTAAACAATGGCAGAAATGAATTTTCATTTTCCTTTCGAAATTCTATGTAAAGTCTTATTTTATAACACTTTTCTTATGTATCGTACCGTACGTCCGACACAAAAATGACATAGTTTTTTATCCCCTCAGTGCACCTTTGGGCAAAAGACTGCCAAATTTACAATACAAGCACAGTGAGTTCCTTCTTTCTAGACATCAGCTTAACTCCCCCCAATTATTTTTTTCAAATGCTCCAAAATTGTGGAATCAGATGTGTACGTCCGACACCATGTACGTCAGACACTGTCAGAATCATGCATTGCTGGCAATGCAATGCTTTTACACTGTACAGAAACCACTACCAACTCATTTGCATACATGGAAATGAGGCCCCAACCTTTTGTAAAAGTATTAAATAGGCCTCACTTTTGTTTTTTACTAATATGCATAAATTTGACTATTTGGACGTACACATCCTAATAATAAAGGCTCAAAGCCATTCCACATTTGTCATGTGTGGACAAACGTGCTTTGCATGTATTCAGAAGTAAGTCACGTCAGTGTGAGCTTTGATGAAGACAAGTAAAGTTCTAGGTGTTGTATACATGTACATGTATTCCTCATCAAGAAAGGAGAATTGTCAAAGACTTAACAAAGGTGTGTCTTTTATACCTTTGTTCAAGGTACTTGTAAAAACAATTGGTTTCACTTTGTGTTGCTTGAGGAATTAAAGGGGGTGTTCCACTTGTATGTACTTTCCATGGCATATACATGTACAGTATTTATCATGAAACATACATGTACAATGTAAGACTGTAGTTTTAAAAGCACTATGCCATTAGTATTAAATTTCAGTGAAAAGGATAATCTCTCAGCCTAATTGCTAGCCCATTCCTTTGATTTTGCAATCATCTAAAAGGGTACATACATATACTCATTTACATTTAGCTTCTTTTTGGATTTTACATGTGTACTATAACCTGTGAAGTGTGAACTGGAAATCTTTAAAACTGCAGCTTATTACACACGCAGTATTTGTCATACAAAAATGTTTAATTTCATGTTCTAAGACCAAAAGATCTTACAGGTACATTGTACATGTACGCAATTGTCTTTTAATTTGATTTATCTATCTAAAGGATTGTCATCTGTAGATGTTTTTTTTCTTAGTTTGAATGTTTGACAGTACAGGACTTGTTTAAATGAGCAAAATTTGCATAAATACTTCTAGACAATATTTTCCTTCATACTGTTTCATTGAATACCCCATCATCCAATTCCTTTCTAGTTGCTTTTGATGATTTTTGTATGGCTTGGCATTTTCTTTTGGTTTGGAAAGTTTGCCAAAGCCTTCATGAAGGTAGAAAAAAAGACAAGCACTGGTTTGAACTAGTTACCTTCTATTCTGAAAAGTCAGTTCAGAAGTGTAAGTCCGACACCAAAAAATGTACGTTCGACACCAATATAATAAATCCTTTATCTGATGTCACAAAAGATAAAAATGTGTCTTACCTTGAAGTTTATTAACAAGGGTCTGCTAAAAATAAACTCTTGAAAACTACTTCCTCAGGTCCTAGCATTTCACAGAGTTTGTGATACAAAAATGGAAACTCAAAAAATTAACTTTCTCTGAGTACGTCCGACACCACGGTGTTATGAGCCAGTTTCTTCATGGATAATAATTCTGAGTGAGGAATTTTGTTATTAAATGAATGTACCAACTAGCTGATGTCTTTTATCAAAATCTAAATCTGCTTCAGGATTATAAGTATAACACTGTTGAAGTGTCCAAAATGTATGTCCGACACCGTGGAACTGCCCAAAAGTGAACAAGAAAAACTTGGTTCCGAAAAACATTTGTGCTCTTTTTTCCCCAAGTACAGCCTGGTGTCATACATGGACATGTAAGCATTTACTGTCTGGTTTTTAAAGCAGACACCAAATTCAATGGACAGGGCCCTCGTGGTCCAGTGGAAGTTTCAAGCTCTGAATATACACATATACTACACTGGAACCAGCCAGCCTGAGCACTGACCTCTCACATTACATTTACATTAATGCCATCAGTGCAGTGCAGGTGGTAAATTGCTTTTAATTATCTGATACAGGAGCACTCCTGCAGCCAAGTGCCTGTTGAGTTGACTGGTTTATGGTTACTCTCATTCTTTCTTTGTTCTCTGGTACCAGCATCATCCACAATGGAGGGGAAGACAGTCAGCACCTGGGCCGGATCCTTCTCCTGTACCCCGGAGCTCTACTTTGAGCCTGGCTCCATCAAAGAAATCAAACAGGTGCGTGAGTGCATGAACAAGTATATTGTGAACACGGTGAATTGGCTGGGTATGGGAATGAGGGAAAGTGTGTTGTGCTTGGGAGCTCCATGGTTTGCATGCATGCAGTTGCCGTCAATACTGAAGTGTATTGCAATTGGAAGTTAACACTTTGAATTTTAAAAAAGGAAAGTTTTTTATAAAAAAAACCTTTTTTTAAAAAAAGAATTTTCTTGACATTTTCAGTTCATTTCACAAGGCATGAAATTTAAAAAGCTCAATATTTCTTGGTTGAAAAATGAATCTCGGACTCGGTTGCTCTTAGTGGGCAGGTTGGAGGGGACAATATTATATCAAGGCTAAGTCATGTCCATATGAGATAAAAGAGATCACATTTTCTCTGGGTGCAATTTTTGTAATAATTTGACAATGCTCCCAACTTTTGCAAAATATTACAGATTCTCATTACGGCCCAAACTTTTCCATGGGTATGGTCATTTGCATGTAGCTTTAATGAAAGCCCTCAGAATCTTTGCAATTTGTCTGGAAATTTTCCAGTTTACAGTTTCTTACTGGTTTTCAATCATGTGCTTCATTATCATCAACATGTTGGGGTGCCTTACAGTTCTTTTTTTCTTTGTTACTTTGGTTGATTTGTGTTCAAGGGAAAACAAGTCATCCCAAAATGGTGACTCTTTACCCTGCCTAACAAGGAATTTCCCCCACAATCTTGTTTACACAAATGTTGCAACCCACCACCAACTACCCGTTAACATACATATACATGTACATGTATGTAAGTCTTGTTTATCAATGCCCTCTTAGCAAGTGGGTGAACGTACGTACTACATCTATTCATTTTCAAATTTACTTTTTGATTGATATGTGACTTGTTACATGACTGCATATGATGTAACTGCTTTCATAACCATTCCAGGGTCAGTGAACTTCCAAACCCGCCACACAGTATACCAGTAACTACTGGCACATGTACGTGGTGTGTACAATGTATAACTAAAAAACTGCTTGGTCATGTACTGTAGGCCTACATTGTATAGCAATTGTAAGATACATGTACTGGTACTAACTTATTTGCACACATTTACGTGTACCATGTTCACAGAAAATTGTATTTTTGTGGAGACAATTTTTTTTTGTGCTCTGAAACACTGGGGTCAGAAACGCTGTCTTCAAAATACTGCCATTTGAGCCAGAGTCACATGCTCATGCACTTTCCTGGGTTGACATTTCAATGTCCCTTACATATAATGTCAATTTGCTATGGATAATTACACATTTAAAGTTCATCCCTTTTTAGGACTAATTTCCAAGTACACATCAAGAAATCCTTGTAGAGACCTTTGCATCTTGAGAATTGCTCTGACAAGACCTTTTCAACCCGCTCCCCTGCATCTCCACAAGGTACCAAAGTGTGAGCACGTGGAACACTTTCTTGTGAAAGACATCAGGCAAAAAAATAAATAAATAAAATAAATAAAACCAGATAAGCTTGCCTGATTTTTTTTTAATTTGAGAATTACCGGTACATGTACATGTAATTCACAATAGAGATAGAATATTAAAAATTAAAATTACCCCTCAAAATTGTCCGTTTTTTTTAATGGAGAAAATCTAATATGAATTTACTTGCCTTTCCCCCTTAATTGTTAAGCTCTCAAAAAACCTTGAATATTTGATTAATACCTCAGACTGCGAATTCCACCCTAGCCCACTCGAGCTTAATTCCCATGCCTCCCGATAATCTGATAATTCCTGGATATTTACATACACTATATGTACATGTACCATACTTTGATTGACATGCATGCTTGGAAACCTTGAATTTTCATTGAAAAATAAAAATCTACCAGAAATAAAAAAGTAAAACAAAAAACAAACACAACAGTTATTACAGTACTGACTGGAAGAACTTGGACATTGATATAAAATGCAAAAATGAGAGGACTTGTTGTAGTCTAAATACATGTAATGTCCGGTAGAATCTCTCTTATGGTCAAAAACGTTTTTTCCATGTACCGTATGTACATGTAGTTTAATCACAGCAAACAGTCAAAGTACCCCCTAAATCCTTGTCTGTTTATTCAAGTCGTATAAATAGTGGCTTACCAATGAGTCCACCTCCTCCTGCCTTGTCAAAATACTGCTGTCATAAAAAATAAATGCTACAAAGTTTTCCATTCATTGAAAAGTACATGTATATGTGTACGTGCTCCTTGATAGAGCTCATCCGTTTGCTCAAATTGGTGAAAACCACCTGTCCCGCAAATAAATTTGTATACTAATTTGCAAAGCAGACTGACAGGAATCTTACATACATAATCCAAGTCCATGAAATATCGTAATTGAATATGCCATGTCCACATGAAGGAAAAGTAACAGACAGGATGAGCCACCAGTTAAGGGAGCCTCTCAAAAGTCGGAACGCCTGGAATGTTCTTTTTGGGAACAGGGGATGTTCCCGATGGGAAAAACGGCTATTCCCACTTGGAACAAGCCTTGTTCCAGTTTGGAACATGCGCTGTTCCTGAACGGAACGCTCCAATTTTTTTTGTGTTCCTTGCTGACGATTGCTGAGCGCACAAGTTTTGTTTTTCCCATTTAGTCAGTCCATAATGCTTTTGCCTTCGTATGGTGTATTCTCCCTTAGTAAACTTATAGCCCCCTTGTTTATGTCGGAAGCAAGACCTTTACCCTGATACCGTATTAATTAAGATTCTGTAAATCTTGGGATATTTATCTGCAAACATTTCCAAAAATAAATCTTCAAATTTGAACCAAACCGCAGGTACTGCAGTACTACACACAATACACTTGGCTGGAGTATTTGATGCTGAAAGAATTATTATCAAGGCAAGCTTCCTTGTTCCCAGACTTGACAATTATTCGTCAACGGAATACTGCGAAGTTTTCCAGATTACATCCAAAAAGAAAAACTACACCAAACCTAATACTGCTTTCGTATTCAGCACCGCAAGCATCACACTTTAGTAAACCCTACACATTCTAAGAAACTAGAGAAATCGTCACTTGGTAAGAAATTTGCTCTGTGGAACACTGCCGTTCCCTGGTAGAATGCACAGAGAACACAGTGGGAATGCCACTGTTCCCTGATGGTACACGCATTTACATTTGTGAATGATATGAATATTCCTATTGGGAACAACCGAAACATTTCGTATATCATCGATATTGAACTTATGAAATTCAAATTGAAAGTACTATTTAAAACAATAACTTGGAAGTTGCTGGGAAGTTGTGTGTTTTGGCATCCCCCCTCATTAAAGATGGTTCAAGTTACTAAGTACTGGTACTGTAAAGCACAATGTTCTGGGTTTAACACGCAAACAGTTAAAAGCACAAACAGTACCTGATGGAAATAATGTATCATATGTTTACACAATATTTACACACAAATTCAAAGCACAGTAACTGACTCTGCAGACGACATACGAAAAATCACACCAAAAATAACTACCTTTCAATTACTCTCCGGTATGCTCAATTTACAATGCTCTAGCGTAGGGATGTATATATGTTGTCGAGTGCTTCTCCAAGGATGTATCTATTTCATTTGCTTTGCATCACAATTAGAACTTGACATGACTGACTTCGAATGTTCCCAGACGGAACGCTGATGTCGCAGCAAAGCGTTCATGACAGAATAGCTTGGAAAACTTGTGTTCCCAACAGGAACACTGGCCGTCCCCATTTGGAACAGGCTGTGTTTCCGATTCAATAAACTGGTTTTCCCAAATGGAGCATTCCAATGGGAACAGGAACGTTCAAACTTTTGAGACGCTCCCTAAGAGTCACCATCTGCCCCTTGAAGTATCAAAGGAATTCATGAATTTTTTCCCACGACTTTGTCCTGAAGTTGCTCTGTTAAAAAGTTTCTTTCCATTTTATTTTTCATGTTAAGAATTTGTTATTCTCGCAAATGTCCCCCACAAAAAACATTAAACCTGTCATTTTTTGCCTGTCTGGATGTACGGGTCGGTAGTGTTGTGATGGACTGCTGGCTTATCAACTAAAGAAAATAGGAATTAACGTAAAGTGATACCGGGTATCTTATGTCTCAATTTACTGTACCTACATGTAGTATTTGCTATAAATGGCATGTGCATCCATGCGATACAGCAGCATGGTGCATATCCTCTTTGGTAGAACCAAGTTGCGGCCCATGGACATTTGATATTCTGCTTGTCATCTGAAAGGTCTTTGTTCACACGTGTGCAAGTTGTTTAAATGTACATGTAGTCAGTGGTAGTCAGCAGACCAAGACGAGCTCATTAGCTGTGCAGATGGTTGCAAGCTTACAGTGTAATACACCCGGTTGACCATTTGCTCAGGCCATTGAGAATGTGCATGTACAGTAGTAATGTGCAACAAGTTGAAGGTATTGGGGTTTGGTGGTCTTGTGCTGTCTGCATTTAAAGTGCAGCTGCAATGAATTTGTCTTGGGCACAAGTTTTCTGCAACTTAGTACTTTTGTTCAGTGTATACATGAATGCTCCTTTACATTCCTTTTTGAGGTTTTTAGTTGACTGCATGTAATACACAAATGCATTCAACAGAGTACTTTTTTTGAACAGTTAAATTTATCCATGTTTTCTAATCGAGGGTGCTTTTGCTATGATGTCATCCCGGAAAGACGTAGTTCATTATACTCTACTCTATAAGTAGGTTTTGCTGTTCATTTCATGAACCCTGTCATGAAGCCATTTTTGTAAAGCGTCTCTATTGTACTCATTGACTTGTGCAAGTTTAATTTTGCACAACTGGGTTGGTCATGGTCACAAAAAAGGGTCAGAGGTGCGCCGTGGCGGGAAAATGGTCGATTTGTTTTCTGGTCCAAGGGGTTTCTGGGATTGTTGTCTCGTGGGTCCATTGTTTGCCTTGGGCATTGAAGATTGCTGCTGCACAGGGCAGAGCTTTATTGCTTCTGACACAGAGCATTGGCTGTGAACGGCATAGCCGAAATATTGCCAGAGTGTTTTTCAAAGCTAGGCAAGTTGTTTGTCGGCCGAAATTTGCCGTGATGGTTTGGACCAATTTCTTATCCCATCATGCAGTTGCAAAAGCTTTTTTGTAATTTGTATGCTGTGAAGGGCATGCACGTGCGCCTTCCCGATCAGCCCGATGTAAACAGTAAAGTGTCATGGCAACAGTAAGTAAAGTTAACCCCTTTGTGCCGGGATGGGGCTAGAGCTGCCGTAAAAATTGAGATCCTCAGCCCACTTTTGGGCTATTATTCTCGGCCCACGCTCGAGCGAACACGGTGAAAGAAGG